AACTGGAGAATGAGGAACGCAAGCATAAACTTCCGCCCCTGTTCCCACGTAAGCCATAGCTATAAAATGATGTCAGCAGCAGGCATTCAGACTGCAGAAACGTTTTGTGCAGGAACTGTGTGCATTTTTGTGCACAGATGTTCGAAATTGAGGGAAAAATTTTTTTTGGCATCAGTGTAAAAATTTTAAGAGATTTTAAAATCGGTAAATTAAAATAACTGATTCTATATTCTTCCTAGATAAAAGCAGCATTTATTTCGTTCGTTTATTACAAAAATTGTAGAAATCACAGCATTTTGAGTAACATGATTACAATTTTTATTACTCTACAGTGGTGGGCATTTAAATTAACTCCGTCCCGCTACCACTACCGGAATTTAAATGGCCGTCTCTTAAAGGTTAAGATAACTCCTTTGTATGGGTTTACCGAACCATTGTATAGCAGTGATTTGAGTGGACCCTATAGAAAATAGTCTCCCTATTGTCGAAACTTGTTTACTGATGGTTGGTAAATAAAGCATATGCAATAAAGAAGGAACAAAGCAAATGTAGTCCCACATTTGTTTTCATTTTTTTGAAGACTTGTATGAAGGTTATACCTGACAAACCAGTTTCAGATTCATGCAAGAACTTGGACCAGTAAATTCCCTGAGAAAAAAATACTGCTGGACACCAAATTTTGAATTTTTCACTTTTAAGTAACAGACATATTTGTGTAGAAATGGTCTACAACATGGTAAAAAGTGCCTAACATCATTAATTAATATCTGGGAAAACGTTTACTTCATGGAGATCTTGTAAAACAAAAACAATACAAATTGGTGATGACAAAGTTGATATTGTGTAAGATTTGAGGCTTTCACGGTGGTGACTATGAAGAAAGCAGTCTTCAAAGTTGAAATTGTTTGAATTGATATGGAACAATTCAGTTACTAGTTGCAAAACATATTTTTTTTGTCATATGCGGTAATATATGAGATGCTAACTGGAATTTTTGAACTAACATGAATTAAGCCATGGACAACAAGTTCTTTGTAAGGTTATTGTTAGAATTGTAAGGGTGATGAATTTGTTATATAGCAAGGTGGAAATCTATCAAAGAAATAGAAGGAATAAAAGTAGGCATTTTATGTGTTTTCAGTTAATTTGGCAAAAAAACTGTGTATTCTCTTTATCTAACCTTCATACTACTACAGTAACATCTTTTAAATGTCTGTGGTTTTGTTTCTCTTTCTAAAGGATATGGTGTGCTGCAGAGCAGTTTGGCTCTGCTGCTGGAAGAGGGTGACTTGAATTCTGAGCTGCGATTTAGAACTGTGAATATTACAAAGATGGCAACTTACATTTTAACACAAATGATGCGAGCCTTTGAAGAAAAACTGACTCAAAAATCAAGCAATGGAATACTGATTGATTCTGGAAAAGTAAGATATGCTCAGTTTTTTATTTAGGTATTTGGGCTTGTGTGTTCTTTTTCTGTTTTAAGAACGTTTGAGCATGTAAGGGGTGTGAGTGGTTCATAATACTACTACTTCCTTAACATTAATCAGCCCTACAACTGGTAAGCATATATTCTCAAATGAGGTTATTTATGCTACTCATGGCAGGGTCACAATTATGTGGGTGCGGTAGAGATATCATTTCAAAATTTAAGTTAAATTGAAGTTTAGTTTTTAAGTTTCTATTTGATTTTAATGTGTTGGAAGGGCAATTGAGTCAGTTTTAGGGTCAGTAATAATCAAGAAGTCAGTCAGTTGGTAAAGAACAGTTAAATATTTTACTGAAAAATGTAAAGTACAGAATTGCATAATTTCTGTTCACATTAAACATAATTATGTTTGTCTGAATTCAGCTTGAATTTATATCTGTCTTAAAATTTGGAAGCTTAAAATTAAAATGGAAATAACTGGGTAAATTGATTTACTTGATAAGGAATTGCTGTCTTCTGTGACTGCTGTAGTATTATACAGGGTGTCCCAGGAGGAATGTGCCAAACTTCGGGAGGGTGTTCCTTATGTTAAAGTATGCCGATATAACCCAAAACACCTATGTCCAAAGTTGAACGGTTACGGAGATAATGGCCCNGGGGGTTCATTGTTTATAATTGACTTTCGGTTCTTCAAAATTAGGACACCTCTTTCTAGGAAGGCTGATGAAAGTCTTCCAGTTGTTTCACAAAACTTGGTGTTTACAATGCAATGAGCACAAGTTATATATGCTATGTTATTTGCTATGTAACATCATTTTCTTCCCTGATTGAACAATCTGTCATACCAGTTCTTTGGTAAGAGAATCTGAGGTTAACAGCACTGCTAATGTAAAGTTTAGGACTCAGCTACTTTACATGATTTTGAACTAATTCAAATTCATGTCAATTCTATTTTCTTAAGGTCATTTTTAATCTTATCCTTCTGCCTCAGTCTCATTCCTTTATGCAGTTACTTTCCAGAGATTTCTCCACAGAGATTTTGTGTGCATTTTTGTTTTTGCAATGTGAGATGTACTGCCATAACAAAGAACCTTAATTCAAAATGAAAACTATATTGAATTAAAAACCATAATGCGTGATAACACATTACATACCTGCCTTCAGATTTCAATTGTTTTGATTGTTTTTGGTATACTAAAGTCCTTTCCATGCTTTGTAGTAGTACAGTACGGTAACATGTAATTTGTTTTGGATGCAGTATTATTGGATGCTACTTTTCTTTATTCGGGGGCACGCAGTAGCGTAGTTGGTTGAGGCACTATGCTACAAGCCGGGAGGTCGTGGGTTCAAGTCCCGATGAGGTCATTGGATTTTTTCAATTGACCTCATCCTTCTGGCTGCACTATGGCCCAAGGGTCAACTCAGCCTCTAACAGAAATAAGTACCAGGATTATTCTTGGAATGTTCTTGGGGGTAAAGGGTGACTGGCACGTAGGGCTGACAACCTTGCCGCCGTCTATGAGCCGATTGTCTAGAAAATGTGGGAACCTCAACATCTCACAACCTTATGGGCCTTCATGGCCTGTTACAGGGATACCTTTACTTTACTTTCTTACTTTTCTTCCCTATAGTGTTATAAGCTGACTATCTCTTTGGCTCCCTGTTTAGTGCCTTTTTCATTATGTAGCAGTGATATTTAAAGAGCCACATGGCCAAAATTGAATCTATGTCTTCACTATATTCATAAAAACTAACACTCAGAGAATGACATATGATTACAATTTGTTTTCTGTAATTCTTCAAGGGCCGCAAAAAGAGTAGCAAGAAAGTGGAATATGAAGATTTTAACTGGGAAGCAAAAAGTCACAGTGCCCTGGTCCTTCTATATCATCTTTTGCAGCTTCCATTGAACAAATTGTGGGAACCTCCTATAGCTGAGGAAGAATTTATCAAGTAAGTTGATTTATTTTATGAACAGAAGTAATTAATAAATGCATAAATAAATTAGTAAATAAAGGAGTACACTCAATGATTTGACATTATGTATTATGGCATATAGACCCGTTGCTAGGCAACGACTGCAAACAAACAGCGAGACGAGCCGTTGCTAGGCAGTGGCCAGCATTCCAGGGGACTGACTGGGAAGTGATGTTTTCTGCAGTGTCCGCACCAATGGCTGTGCACGTAACAATGGATGCAACTCTTAATGTTACATTGTAGTATCCTGTTGCACTTTTCACTTAGTGTCATTTAGATTTTTAGTCTCACATGTAACACTGATATTCTATAACATTTATAAAAGATATTCAAGATTTGAGGTTTTCATGGTGGTGACTATGAAGAATACTGTCCTCTGGGAAGTGGCGCCATGTAGGTGTGGTGTGGAGAAGGTCTACACAGCACCACATCTCAGAAGACAGCATTCTTCGAAAGATATTCACTTTAAGAGTTCTTCATTACATGTTTTGGCCAATGTGGTCATCATCAGGCATTAAAATTATTGGACAAGGAAACTGCTGTCTTCTGTTTCATTGCTTAGGTTGTTAATATATATATAAGTCCCCTCGATGTGCATGTGTGTTTGAGGTGGTGGGTTGTATTCCCTCCTGTTGTGTGTTGTGCTGCTTGTCTTGTTTTCAGATGCTTTTGAAAAACATTGAGATTTTTGCAATCAGCATCTGACCTGTAAAGCATATTTTCCACAGTCCTCTAGGTCTGGCATAAGGCAAGAAAGCTTAGGATCAGAGGGATAGAATTACTGGTGTGTACTTCAAAATGTTTTATAGCAATACCTAGAATTTTGAATCTGCAGTAATTTGAGGCTTGTATTTTCAGAGTCACTATATGCTTTGAGCACTGAAACCTGTTCTGACCAGGGGTTCCTTAGCAAGATTTTTACAGTATATGGAGGTTATTATGTGTAAATAGAGAAATTAATGTAAGCCTAAATTGTTACTTTTGCTTACAGTCTTATTGCTGATTGCTGTTATAAAGTCCTAGAAGATCCTGGTATTTCTGCAGTCAAGATGAAGTACATGCGGGAAACAATATTTCAAGTGCTGGGAACGCTGATCAAACGCTACAATCACGGCCTGAGCTGCAGTATCAAGATAGTTCATGTGTGTCCTCAGTTTCTTCTGCAGTTACAGTATATTTAGGTTTGATTGGTTTGGGGTTGCTAATATTATTTCAGTGTCTTTCAGCATACCACTTGTGTGGTATAGGGGATTTATTGGAAAGTTAATTATTACTCAGCCTATCATGGCATCTGTGTTCTTTTATACCCTTTCTTGAAACTGATGAATCCAGTCCACATCTTCACACCCTGTGTTTCTGGAATTCAATTTAATATTACGTTACCACTTTGTTTAAGCCTTCTCACTTCCCCTCACATAAGATTTTCACTCCCCTGTCCAAGGTTGGTTGTGTACTAGTGCAGTGTCCGGACTGCTATATCCAAACATTCTGTAACATGTCATGGCAATTTTTTTTTCAGAACTCATTTTGCACATAGTTTTTTCTTCCCGTGTTGCTAGATAGTGTACGTAGCTACCTTTTGCAATTGCTTATTCATTTCTTTGTTGCAAAATACTGCAGACCATTAGTCTACTGCAGGAAATGGAAACAGTGGCAGGTAAACCAGCTGCAGAATTGATGGAAGTGAAAGTGTTAGGGTTTCTGATCAATATTTCTTATGTATTTCCCATTTCTTGCATGTTTGCTGCATTTTCTTCCATCTCACCTTTCTTGATTTAGTTATCGTAATAATAATAATAATAATAATAGACTAAGACCACAAATTATGAAGCTCCTTATTATGCAGATTGCTGTAGTTCCCTCTTACTTTATTATTACTGGTACCAAATACTTCTTAGCATGTTGATCCATATCCTTTCAATCTGTGCACTTTCCTTGTAATGAAAGATGAAGTTTAACATCTGTGTAACACAACAGATAAAGTTATATTTTTATAGGGTTTTTAAACTTCTGTTTATCGTCATTCCCAAGTGCTAGTAATGTGCCTCATTTCTAATGAGATATTCATATATTATGATTTTGTCCAGTGTTCTAGTAATGAGATAAGATGCAGACTGAGTTTTTAGTTATACTGTATAATTTTTATCGAGCATGTTACTGAATATTCATAAGGTTTAAGAACTTTGTTTAGTAGTATTTGTATATTTCTTGACCTCTAAATATCCTCTATCTGTGTTTAAATACCATGTTACTCTACTCTTAACAGAATAACTCTATGAAACTGTTTAAAAAACCTTGTATCCTGGAATTAAAATTATCAGTGCTTTAGTGTGTCATGGAAAATATTGTGTTTCAAACATGTAGGCTTTGAAGTAAGCCCACGTACTACTCATTGTGTGTATTTCTCAAAAGTTGGATCTTGTTACTACTTTTTATCAGTATATACTTCATTTTTGGACCTCATGTGAGAGTTGTGTTTGACTGTCGCACCATCTAATTAAAATTTTGGATGTCAGTATTATAGACATTGATTTCTTTGAAACTTAGTATGCGTGGTATACTGTTGGAGGCCAGCTTGTTTTTTTACATCCTGTTATAATACCAAGGTGGCAGCTGTGTGAACTTGTGTGATAAGAGCAACAGTAGTACAGTCAGTATAAGTACTCAGAAATTTGTAATTTTTTTTTATGTACAGTTATGTGAGGCATATACAGAGATCTTTAATTTTTTTACTTACAGTTAGGTACAGCATATATTACAGATAACATAAATTTGCTTATTATTACTGACTCTGGTAGGGATCCCTGAAGATTTGTTACTGCTATTACCAAGTTTCATTACAGGATATAAAGTTTGTGTGTGGTTGTTTTTTCTCATTAAATGGGGTTCATGAAGTTTTATAATGAGTAAAAGTAAAGTAAAGCTATCTCTGTAACAGGATGTGAAGGCCCATAGGGTTGTGAGATGTTGAGGGTCCCACATTATCTAGACAATCAGCTCAAAGATAGCGGTAAGGTTGTCAGCCTTACGCGCCGGCCTCGCTTTACTTCCTGGGAAAATTATTTATTTAATTCCTGGTACTCATTTCTGTTAGAGGCTGAGTGAACCCCAGGGCCTAGTGTGGCTGGAAGGATTACGATACTTTTCCCAAAGATCACTCTTTATGTTATCTTCCTTTTTGTCGCGTCTTTCAAGTAGGTGCTTTCCAAGCAGTTTCCCTACCAGAATTCTATGTGTATTTCTGATTTCCCTGATCAAACTATATGCACAACCCTTCATAAACTAGATTTCTCTACACTAACAGTACAAGGTGACAGGTATAATTCACCAAGTTCCTCAGTATGTAATATCATAGATTATCATCTTAGTGGCCCTGTTGGGCCAAAATATCTCCTTGAATACTTTGTTTTCTAGCTTTCCTAATTTATCTTCTTCCTTTACAGTAAGAGAGAATGTTTTGCATTTCTTGATCAGCAGTGGAACACTCGTTTAAGGTTTCTTTGAGGAGCAGTGGTTTTGAATACTAAATTGAGGAAATTTAACACTGAGATTATTGAAATTTGAAGTTTAATTAAGGAAGACTTAATTTTAAATCTAGGAATATTAGATGGGGGTACTGTTGTAGACTTTTGGAAAGTAGAGTGATTACTGACAGGGTAAAAAGTTATTTGGGTGGGATGATGCAGTGGGCCAGTGTACCAAACCCCAAACTTCATCAAATTATCAGTGTATACAGAAGTGACCTGTTTATTCATGTGTGTGTTTCAGTTGTTGAAACTGTATGAACATTTGGTGAGTCCGTTAGCTCAAGGTGTTGTGCAGCTTGTTCAAGAATTTGGTTGCCAGACTATTGTTCGTGAGGTAGTACGTGAGATTAGTGAGACAGACAGTTCTGATCTCATGCAAAATACATCTGGTACAAGAGCATATTCGCAGTTCCTCGTGGAAGTTGCTGAGAGACTTCCAGAGCTTATAATGCCTGCTATCAATGCCCTCACTGTACATCTTGAAGGAGAGGTATGCTTAACCTTTTTAGGGCTGATCTTTGAAAGCTGTACATACTCTATTGTACAGGTCACTGTCATCTGTAGTTTGCACCTGTTTCAATTGTCTGAGGCTGTATGTTGGGTATTTTCCCCATCAATTATTTTTGTTGCAAATATGAGTTGGGAAATGGCTGGCAGTAGTTCTGCAGAAATGTTTTCCATTTCCAAGGGCAGACTTTATTCTTCCATCTGTAGGCTATTCAGTGAACTTCATGTTCTGCTTTCTAATAATTTTTCGCTATTTGTCTTTAAAGTCCATAAAAATGGTGTTACAAAGAAAGAAAGAAAGAAAGAAAGAAAGAAAGAAAGATAGATGTTATCGCAGGTGATATTTGAACTATTTTGGATGAAGAATGCATTAGCAGTGGGGATTTTTCTCTCTTGCAAATTTAATAGAAATTTAATGTTAATGATGAGAGTGGTTATGTCAGTCAAGTCATTGTCCATGGAAATAATGATGGAAAGGCTGATGACAGTAAGAAGGTATGTGACTAGTTTAAGAAACAACAAACCTTGATAGAGGGTTCAAAGATTTATTTACCATGGATGATTGATTTGTATAATTGTGGATGTTTTATGTAAGACCACTGAGGCCTGCTGTCACTTGACTAGTGGAGACAGAATTCAGAATATGATGAACTTATCTAGAAAGAATATGTAGATACCATTATGTTCCTGAATGCAATGTTCTAATAGGAGAAGACAGTGATTTTCAAGGGGTTTATCATCTTCTAGTGGTACATCCCATGGAAAACCATAAAGTGGGGCTGTGAATCTTTCCATGGCATGCATGGTGGCTTCATCCTACACTTTGCATGAGCTACTATAATGTTATTTGGATTCCAGACAAGCTTTTTACCACAAGAATACATGATGTGATAAGTTAGTTTCGAGGTGGCCTGCGGTATGATTGAACTTTGAACAAAACTTCTCTGCCAAGTGGAGGCAGAGTAGAACTTGTTGAGTCATTTGCTTTTAATTTCAAAATTGTAATGTATGCCACTCAAAGTAACGCCTTGTGGAATGAAGTTGTGTTGCTATGGTTCGTAAATTCCAGCACATCACTATTTCCTGTTGTGACATGAGCAGCACCATTTAATAACACTGTTCTACTCAGTACTTGCACATAAATAATTGCAGTGTTTTACTTTTTCCAGTCTCCAGTGATGAGAATGTGTGTCTTAGGAATAATGGGAGAAATTGTGCTACGTATGCTGAGTGTAGAGAATTTAGATGAGAGTTCCCGTGATATGCGAGATCAATTCCTCGATCATCTTGAGGATCATTTACATGACGTGAACGCATTTGTGCGGGTGAAGGTAAGATGTGTTATAAGACAGTTAAAACTATATACAAGAATTCTGTATTTCTCTGCAGAGAACTGATAAAGCTGATGAAGATTCTGCTAGACCTACTGTGAAGCAACATGTCCCATGCTTTGATACCAGTTTACTATAGCATGAACTTGTCATATTCTAGTTACAGTAGAAGTGTGCAAATTACCTGATTTTAAATGCCTTCTGCCTCCATAAACAAGTTGAGGAACATGGTACACAATGAAACAAACTGCTGGAGTGATGGGGAAATTCAGGGGATGTCATGTGATGGACATTTCTTAGTCATTAAAACTTGGTTGGGGCAAGCAACTCCCAGATTATGGAGTAGACAAGGGTAGGACAGGATGGGTAATGGGACCCTTATGGACTGGTAGCTATAAATAACTACTGCAATTACAGTTGCTACAGAAGTTACAGGAAAACAGTAGGCGCTAGTTACATACCTGTATCATTTGTTAAAAGGTGCAGGAAAGAGAGTCCTCGCTTTATATGATGGGTGTTCTCTATGATATATTGGGTTTCTGGACTTTATCCATCGTCCTGGTTCTCTATGTTTTACATTAAGAAACGTAGGGTTTCAGTGGTTTTTGTCACTAATTAGGTCCTCATTATAATCCATGTTTTCTCTATCACAGTTCCACTGTGTGTGAAGTAAAAAATTGCTAATACATGTCCAGTTGGATTGTAAGGTACTTCACCATGCCACAGAATACATATCTGCAATTGACATACACTGTTTTATGTTCAGTAATTTAATATTATGCTTCTGTTTGCTTGCTCATCCTTTGTTGAGTTTGAAATAATTTTTTCAACGCAGTATAAAGTGAAAGGGTAGTATCATAAATATCCATAGTCATGTATGAAGTAGTTCTGAACATTTATTGTAATGTTACTTTTTGTACAAGATTAATTAACTAAGGTCTCATTCATCTGCATACAATATAAAAATACAGCAATACCTTGCATAGTCCGGGTAATTGGTTCCGCCTGTATCCAGGACTGTTTGAAATCGGACTAATCGAGGAACTAAATACATACAAAAAATGATAATTGGTTCCAAAAAAATTCTCATTTTTCAATAAATAAAACGTGATTAATAAATTCAAATGTCTTTATTAGAAATAATTTAAAAAATTCATGTTTTTTTTTTTGCAATTCATTTTTATTCTCTAAAAATTGCAATATTGATGTCTGCACATTTTTCTTCTTCACATTTTCTTTTTGCACTCATTATTATTATTATTATTATTATTATTATTATTATTATTATTATTATTATTTTCTTTTATTTTAAATGGGTATTAAAATTTAATTGTCACAAATGGACTTTACTGTAGATTTGCATATCGAAAACTGGTAGACAGAAGTTAATTCAGCATTAAAGTTCACAAACGTCAACTGCTACTCGTGCCCCGTAGCTTACACATTAAGGACAGCAGTTGTGATCGCACTGAACTGCAATCAGAGTGGTGTCTTTCACACGTTTCACACTTAAGACCTTGAGCTCTAACAGTTGTAGGCACTGTTACCAAAGTGAGATAAAAGTCAACACAGAGCATGCCTTGTCAGTGCTCTCCCCGCCTCCCTGTCAGAGCTCAAGAACGAACGACCCAAGCATAGGTACATACATATACAACGGGGAACCCCAGAAAAAATTGAAATATATATTGTATTGCATAAATTTAAAACCACATAAAAATAAACTGCACAAAAAGAGACTTGACTGTATAAAGGGAAAAACCGATCATTTATATATTAAAAATAATTTTGTGTACTAATTTTCTAGAATTTATTTTTATTTTACTCAATTAAAATTTAGTTTGTTTTGAAATTTTCAAACCAGACTGATCAAAGCCAAACTATGTGAGGTATTGCTATATCTCCTTAGAGTAAAATGACTGGAATGTTTGATGGGCGCTCACCTCCATCAAGTATTAACACTATGCAGACCAGCGATTTAAATAGTTAAATCACCCTGGGGACCGGCATTTTTAAACCTACTACCCTAACTTGTGCACTCTTCACTTAAAAATTAATATAAAATCTCCTAATTAATTTTATGAATTAAATTTTTTGGAGAACATTTACCAATGCTCCTAGGAGTGCTTGAGAGTGTAATATTTCTGGAAACATTCCCATTTGTGAAGTGGCATTACACAGAACTTGCACATATAGACAGTCATACTCCTTTTGTTGTGTACTGTGCAAACATGGCATCGCCTAGAAGGCTGCTTCCTCTTGGCATGTTCACTCTTCACAATTTTCACGAGGGTATGTTTCCGCATATCACCCGATAGTCACCCAGGGGGGTCAAAATGAGGCGTGCGTGGGGTGGGAGTAGACGGCCCCGGTCGTACTAAGACTGTGTCTGCCACCGGTTCTGCCGCCACCATGTGGTCTGTAGCCCAGGCTTTTGCCACATTCAGCAGAAATGCCTTGTATTTCAATTTTGAATGAGGGTTTAGATTTTTGAAAACCAAAAATGAATCAAAATGGCACAATTTATAAGCCACAAGGCAACTTTCCTTGTCCACTTTACTGTTTTCCAAGGAAGAGAATAATAGGCCAAGTACTGATCGGCTCTATCAACTCCCTTCATGAACATATTATACTTGGAAATAGAAACAGGCTTCTTTACCTGTCCATGTCTCCTTTGAACATCAACCATGCTCAAATTGTGAATTGTGGATTTGGGTCTGATGGAATTTGCTTCACCCCTGGATTTCCAGTAAACTGTCCCAAAGCAGGCGTTTTGTCTACTTTTCCCCATGTGGCTGTCCCCGCAATGTTGCTACCCGCACTTTCGTCAGAGCTACTGTCACTTTCACTTTCACTGTCTGTGGCCACAATTTTTTGTTCACTCCTGCCACACTCACTATCAGATTGTGAGTCGCTATCACTAGCAGACTCACAAGGGATGTCAGATAGCTCATCGGGGAAGAAGTCAGATATTTCTTCTCCAAGAAAACGCTTGGACCTCAACTCTTCCGACCTTGATCCATTTTGCACTAGTAACTTCCTGCGTGGTGCATGCAGCTGGAAGATGAACAAAGGCATTTTCTTTTGAAGTGGGAAAGGAAAACAGTTGGGTCATAAACAGCGGGGTCATGTTACTGACTACGAAGCAAACATTCAAGAAGTCTATCATGCACCAGGCATGCGTCTGCCTGGCGCCAGTGCAGGGTATAGTGTGTTTCAACATAACGTGTCCTAAAATCATAATAATATGCCACCGGTCCGCCACGTTTAAAAGCACTGGGCATAAAAATATGCCACTGGTCCGCAAAGTATTAAGATCAAGAATGTTTAGGGCTTTACATCCATTCCTCCTGTACACATGTGCACAAGGGAAGGTTTACCTGTACTTGTATTTTACTTTACAGTGTGTTCCCTGAGCATTTTGTGGTTATTAACTTCTCAGTTTGCTCGTGAAGTCTAATGGTTCATTCTTGACTGTCACCATGAAAACTTGCTGCTCAAAACTAGCTCACAGTTTTACTTTCTGTTTTTCAAGATTCGTTATAAAATTATTCTCATACCTTTGTCTCATTTTTCCAATTCGCCATCATTACTCTTCCCAGCATTATGTGTTGTTATGTGTGAGTTTTACGAAATAAAATATATTAATCTGTTTATTGGCGAATTAAACTCACCGAATCCAAATCAGTACATATTGACTTTATAAACTGAGGATTACACAACAATCAATCTTCATCAATGGCACTCAAGTTCCATACACCAACACAGCGAAATATCTTGGAATAACTCTAGACGTCAAGTTATGGTGGAAAGAGCATATCAAGATAAAACGTGATGAGCTCAACAGTAAGCTCGGAAAAATGTATTGGTTGCTTGCACACAATTCCGAGCTATCAATCCACAGTAAACTTACATTATACAAACAAATTCTATGTCCAGTTTGGAGTTATGGTATCCAAGTCTGGGGCTGCGCCAGTGAATCCAATATTAGGGTGATTGAACACTATCAGAACAAAGTGCTAAAGTGTATTGTCATCGCACCATGGTACATTCGTAACAGTGATTTTCATCATGACCTTGGGATCGAGACGGTTACAGATATCGCCAAGTCAGCCACCTCTCATGAAAAGAGACTCCAAAACCATGTCAACATTGAAGTGTCCAGACTTCTCAACGTGAACGATATCATTAGACGACTAAAACGGAAGAAACCGTTTGAACTAGTAAAATGTTAAAGTACTAAGTAATTCAGTGGAAGTGACTTAGTTTTAATTTACATAGTATATTAGGTTTAGAAAAAATTAATCGTTAGTTATCCAACTGGTTTTAATTGTAATTATGTTCTGGGTTACCCAGCCTTTAATTAATAAATAAAAAAAATTAATCTGTTTTACAGTATTTGTAATAATTTTTTTCATTGATACTTTTTATTATCTTTTTGTTATGTTAGAAGTCTTAGTGGTTGATTTTGACCTTAGCAGGTGCTTAGGTAAAAAAAAAATTCAATCTGTACAGAAATTGCTGTATCTGATAACGTGTGCTGTCTGTAACCATTTTTATTTTATTTTTATTTATTTATTTTACATAATCAAGGAACACATGGAAAAAATTGGTTTCATACGTTTCAGGCTTTTGGGGAGTTTTATGTAATTGACTGCCCTGTGATAATATAACAACGTTTTTGTTGAAGAAAGCAGTCTTCTGGGATTTGGCACCGTGTATGTGTGGTGTAAACTGGTTCTCACGGTCTCTTCGATTGCAGATTTCTTATATTTTTTCTTCTACCCTGAAGATGGAGGCGATACGTTCCTCCGAAACGTCGGTTAACACCACATATACACGGTGCCAAATCTCAGAAGACTGCTTTCTTCATAGTCACCACCGTGAAAGCCTCAAATCTTACAACTTTTTTGTTGCTAATGGAATTGCACTCTTCCAGGTTCTTCAAATATGGCAGCGTCTCTGCCAAGAGAAATCTATTCCTTTATCACGCCAGGGTCAAGTGTTGAAACTGGTTGTAGGTCGCCTTCATGACAGAAGTTGCAATGTCAAGAAAAATGCCATGCATTTGGTGACTGCATTTCTTGAAGGGAATCCATTTGCAGCCAAGGTTTGTTGTACTACTTCATTTTGAAAGCCGTGTTATGAATAATTGCATGAAAATATGTCACTCTGGAAAAATATTGTGTTTATGTATACTTTTTATGGATAGTAACAGGAAAACATTTGTGGAAATGTGGTTTCACGAAATGTTTGATTTAAGGAATAGGTCCCAAGATATATATGTATGAATTCTTTTCCATGGGTTATTTTATTTTATGAGAAAATATCAAAATTTCACTCTCTTTTCCTGTTATGTGAAATTTATCCTTAAACTTTGCTTTCATTTCACTTTTGTCTGAACTGCCTGCTACCATTAGAGTCTATTAATATCTTTCTTTTCATGGATTCTTTCCTTTACTTGAAATATTCTTCAAAATACTAAACATGTGATACCTTTTTAGTGGAAAGCATTGACACTTCTAGTGACTGCAAAGTCTTGTTTAAGGAAGGAATGACATGGGTTTGCTCAGTTTTAAAACTCTTGAAGTCTTCCTTTTTGTTTATGTCATATTCTAAAATTAAAGAGACAACTGATTCTTCGCCGAAATTTATGAGAAAATTTGCAGTATTTTTCCTCCATTTGTCACATATCATATGCCCTTTTTAAATATTAATAACCTTTTTATATCATCTAGAGTAACACATGCATCAGGCTTTCCTTGGAATTTGCAATATGACTGAAATTCAAGGAATTATGTCACTGATTTAAGATATTAAGTTCTCTGATACTTGTAGTATTTGCAGCCATTTAAAACTTGGTAAAAATAAAAATTAATTTTGCACTTGACTGAACTACAAAAATTTTTCCAGATGGGGAAATAACGCATAACTCTAGTGGTATCAGGCATGAACTGAAAGGTGGGATTAGTTGTGATGCCCTATACATGTGTGTATAGGTCACAGTATAACTCATCATGCATAATCAGACCATGATGAAAAGTAAAGGTATCCCTGTAACAGGCCGTGGAGACCCATAGGGTTGTGAGACGTTGAGGTTCCCACATTTTCTAGACAGGTGGCTCACAGATGGCAGTGAGGTCAGCCTTAAGTGCCAGCTGGCCTTTACCTGCTAGGAAGATTCCTGGTACTCATTTCTGCAAGAGACTGAGTTGACTCCAGGATCATAGTGCAGCTAGAAGGATTAGGTCAATTGAAAAATCCAGTGACACAGGAAATCGAACCTGCATCCTTTTGGCTTGTAGCATAGTGCCCATGAATATACATAAAGCCCTATCTTCTGATCACTTTTATTTCAACATGATGATACTTTCCAGAGGAGTTTTTAAATGATCACTAAATATTGTGGCAAAAACTAGCATAAATCTGGCTACATGTTTTATATAAACTTAGGTCAAGGTGAAAATGTTAATGTAGCCTAAAATATTGTGAGTGGCTTACCAAATGAAACCCCTGATGTAAGAGCTTTCAATTAATACAGCAATGGGCTCTCTGTCATAATTAGGACTTATAAGTACTTTAGTGACTCAGAATGAGGGAAGATTGATTGAAAACTTGAAATTACAGAATGATGTATCTCTGCATTTAAGGGATGTAGGAAGGTAAAATTTAATATAGTTAGGTCCTAAGGAGACCCAAGAAGCTTGCAAAATTTTTTTACAATCAAGGATGAATATGAAAATTTTAACCCTGAACTGTTCTAATTTGGTCTGGAATGACCCAAACCCTGATCCAGGGATGCTGAACCATTGGCACTTACGCCAAGTTTGGCACCAATTGAAATATCAGTTGGCACCAGTGATCGCTGGATTTGCCATATTAGCATGTGGAGTCATTTGGTGTCAGATAATAATTTAGTAGTTCATAAACATTTCTGCTGTTATGTTTCCACCCTGAGCACCGAGGAGTATGGTTATCTAGAGAAGAAAATGTAACATTATTTTATCTTGTCAATTATTTTGAACCATGCAGTATGTAAAATTAAGTTTAAGAACTTACGTTACAGATGGAGTGAGTGCTGTATATGTCGCTTTCAAAACCACATACAAGTTAAGAATTAAAGATTTCCCTGAAACTATAGTAATATATATGTGACCAAGCTCATTAAGTGGTACTGGAGCAACAAGGGCGATTGGTGCACTTCCCACTGGAACCTTGGATGAAAATTAGGCACCTGGTAACATGAAAAGATTTGTCATCCCTTCCCTGAACACAGGAGCTTACTATTGGATGTGCCAGATGAATGCATTCTGTGTCCTCACACTTTGTTAAGTTTTAATTTTGTCATGATTTTATGGAGTGACTATAGATGGGGTTTTGACTGGTAATTGGATTTACTGAACACTTACACATCATAACTACAAGCAACTATAGTGCTCTCACTAATTCACACACTGCAGTTCACTACAGCATGTACTAAGTCTCTCAGTCTGTTGTGTCTTCACCAGTTGTAGTCTGGTAATGGCTTCCAGTGCAATAGAGCCCCGACTTCTGTATTCATGGCTGTACGTCATTGCTGGCTGCTGCCTAGCTCACTGCAGCTCCTGAGCTGAACTAACTGGCTTCCAACTGCTGAACTCATTCACAGTGCACAGCCGACTGCTTATGAAGCCTTAGCACAAACCACATAGAAAACACTGCCTTCAACAGTTCCCCTCTTGTTGCATCATGTGGCTATGGCTCGGGCCGCATAGAGAACACCATTCCTGTTTTACTCTTTGTGGCCATTACCTAGCAATGACCATTGTTTACAGAGTCATTACTTAATGGCAGGTCTGCATACTACATTATTATTATCCTTCAGTTTTCCAAATGATCTCTTTCCTTCAGGTTTTCTAAGTATAGTTTTGTATGCATATCTCATCTCCTGTGTGTGCGTACGTTGCCAATAGATTTTATAACACTAATAATGTCGGGTGAAGAAATTGTGTGGGTGAGGTTTGATGAAATAAATTGGAAAGGCATAATCTGTACCACTATCCAGAATACACAGATTCTATGTGCATCCTTTTGCATTTTGAATGCTGCTGTCTGATCTGTATCTCCATATCAAATATCTTACCCTTATGTTCTCTTCATTCATTCATTATTGGAGGGGGTGGTTTTCCCCATGCACCACAACCAGTTGTTGATCTATTGTATGTTCCCCTTTGATATTCTACCAGTCACCGTACCCTTCCGGTACTGGTGCTCGCTATCAGCCCCGTTCAGCCTGCGAGTTCAGCCCCTCTACTGGCAGTGGTACCCGATACTTTCCCCATCTACCAGAGGCATTGGAAACTACTTGGGCGGGAAACTTTTTACCTAATTTTGCTCAGAGGTCTCCTAGAGACATGAGGATCTTTTACATGCCGTAAATCTACGACACGGGACCCACGGCTTAAAGTCCATCCTGGAGGACTTTTTCCCTGAATTTTTCCGCCCTTAAAAATTCCACAACCTCCGCCGGGTTTGAACCCGCGTACATTGAGTCATGAGGTGGGAATGTTACCCCTAGACTACGGAGTCCGCTCTTATGTTTTCTTAGTTACCACTGTCAAACTGAAAGCTAAATACGGATTTTGTGCAGCTGCCATTTTATCATCTTATATTGTATGAAAGGATGCTGTGATAAAAGTTGCAGATCTTTCAAAAATCTGTTGCCCTACATAATTTCAATGTCATTCCTGTGTCACAGGTTCGTGTCTCCAACATTTTGGTGATGTTGATTGTAGGAAATTTAAAAATATGATGTTGGGTAGCCTCTAGTTTCAACAAGATCTCTCCTTCAGTCCTCAAGTCTAAACATGCTGATAGGCAGACTGATCAGCCCTATTTAGTGCACATCATGCACAGAACACACAATTGATCCTAAATCCTATAGTCTCAGATTATACCAATTGAAATGCCTTGTGTTATATTTTACCAGTTGAGTCTAGAGGAGCTTCAGTCACAGTTGGAGGCAGAGATGAAGACCCTAGAAAAACTTCAAGGAGAGAATGTCATTGAGATGGAGAGGAGGAAGCGTGTCACTGAACATGAAAGACAACAGGCATGGCTTGAACATGAACCAGAAGTTGCTAAACTTATTGAAGATATCTTACAAACAGGTAATAAGAAGAATATTTGATGAAATATTCAAAGACAAAGTAAAAAAAAGTGCAGTGGACTTATGAATTGAGATGTTGAAAGAAGACTGGCTAACATTATGAATAATTGATGCATTGTAAAACAAAACACACTTTTTATGCACATTTGCTGTCGAACTTTTTATATGGATGTGCCTAATTAATTGGTTTGTATGATATTTCTTGTCGGGCCAACCCTAAGACGTAAGAGTCAATTCTTTCCCTTCCATATTATCTTTCTACATGGTGTGTATATGCATATGCGCTATTTACAACATTTGTTATACATTTACACTATTATTTTGTTGTTGAAACTTTATCACGAAAACAAATTTCCGGACCCTCTTTTAGTTTAAGGGAGTGGCATTACAGTGTGTATTGTCATTCTTGGTGTTTAACTCTGTGTTGATTCTGCTTTTTATGTTTATTATAGGTTCGACAGAGGATGAGCCAGCTACCCAGGTACTGACACAAAATTCTCTCACTGAATCGTTAGAAGAAATCCGTGTGAAGCTTGGCCAAAAGCAGTACTTGGAAGCTTATTATCTTTTACGAAATGCAGAGAAACAGTTCCCTGGTGCTCAGGAACTTAGGTATCTATGTTTAAATACAGTGAAATCTCCATTTAATATTCCTAGATTTAAGGTTTCCTCTCACTTCATGTTCAGTATCAGTGATCCTAAATCAGTAAATTCTGTAATAAATTGCCTGCATTTAAGATTTTCTTCCCATGGGTTCTCAGACCTAAAGTAGGAGTTTCACTGTATTACTGTTTGTACTTTTTATGTACATTGTATCCTAGCCCATAGTGTGTGTATTTCATTATTCTAAACCGTTTTTAAAGTTGTTTATGCAATGAGTGGAATATTAATTGCATTAATCCTTGCATGACATGTGACATTTAAGTATGACTTCACCGGGACAAAGGGTATTAAAATTTTAATATAAAAAAATGCAGCTTCTAAAAGAGATTACTGTAAGTACAGAGTAAATTATTAGAATGAATCAAAATTTCACATTCAGAATTGTATATGCTGTAGAGTCATATTAATGAGTCAACTTGCTTTTAAAACTTAATGTTGCTAATTTGAACATTGGAACTACTTTCGAGAAATGTGATTTATGAGTATGCATTAAATGTGACGTTACCTTAGTAGCTGAGACTGATGTTGCAATCCTTAGTTCATCCAATGTAGAGAGACTGTTGCCATATTTCTCGCATAAATAGACCGTGTCCTTCCTCTTGCCACGTGTGAGGTATGTAGCACATGTTCCATGCTTCCGAATGTATATATACTCTTTTTTTTTTCCTTGGCACTACAGCCCCACTGGGCCTAGGCCTACCTCCATGAACTTCTTCGTTCACTTCGGTTTTTCTAGATCTTATACATTCGGTAGGACTCCTTGGGCGGGTGATCAGCTCATCGCAAGGTCTCTCCCTGTACACAAACACAGAAAAACGCACACAAACATCCATGCCCTGAGCGGGATTCGAAGCCATGATCCCGGCTTCTGAGCGAGCGAAGACTGTGCATGCCTTAGACCCGCTCGGCTACCGTGACCAGCATATATACTCTTACATCAGATAATTTAACAACTTATTTGCTGAAAAACAATTTAAGAAGTCCATAATTTTACGTGCAGCTTTTGTAGCATCTTGCATATTGAAATGGCCTGAGAAACTTTCTTTTTTGCATGTCATTCTGAATCAAGTCTAGAACCTTATCACCATCACTGTCATCAGTTTTAAGTTGATCCCTTGTCATCACAGCAAGGCACATCCATTGTCTCTTTGTTTACATTTTCTTCCTCTTATTCCTCAACTTTATTAAATATAGCTCAGATTTGCATAGTTATCCTGCATGATATCACTTGCCAAAATTTTCTTGACCTCCTTTCTTGGAATTTAGCTAATACTTTTGAAAAAGTCTTGCTCTGCCAGTGGTTGGAATCCTACATGTACATAGGAAAGATATTATGAAAATTGCTCCACTCCCCCAAAAAAATAACTGAAGAGAGAAGAGTTGATTGCCAGATATTCCAGTCCTGTATTTTTCCTCAAATAGAGCAACAAAAATAATACATTGTCACATGTATGAGTGATTGTAGACGGGGTTTGGATTGGTAATTGGATTTATTGAACACTACAGATCATAACTACAAGTAACTATAGAGCTTTCACTAATTCACACCCTCAGCGGTTTACTACAGTATGTACTAAAGTCTTCTCAGTTTGCTGTATCTTCACCGGTTGCCACCTGGTAATGGCTTTCAGTGCTATAGATCCTTCAACTTCATGTTAACATCCTTACTGGCTAGCAGCTGTCTTGCAATTAACTAAACTCTTAGACTTGCCCTGCTTATAATATCTTGGCACAGACCGCACAGAAAACACTTCTTCTAACAGTTCTTCTGTTGCACCATGTAGCTGTCGCATGGACTGCTTAGAGAATGCCGTTTCCCAGTTAGTCCATTGCTGCATGTTAGGAATCCATTACCTGGCAACAAGCATTGTTTACAGACACATTACTTAGCATGTGTATGTTCTGTAGTATTATGTTTCTAGAACATATACCATGTAATGAATAATTTGTTCAAATCTAATTTGAATGTTTCAATTATTAGAGAAGTTAGTGCTTGGTCAGGAAAACCTTGCACCATAAAGATAGCATTAAAATTCCCAGACTGAAAATCTGCCCACAGCCCGGTTCTGACTGGATATTAAATGCCTCCATGCCAACAGGTTAAAACAGATGATGACTACCTCCTTCCATATCTTTATCTACTCACCATTCATGATCATATTTTGTTTCATTAGATGATTTTAACCTCTGCATTTGAAACAGCTTTGTTAAATAACGTAAGAAGCAATCAGCAAATTCTGAGTATGGGTACAGGAGTAATTATTTTTCTGTTTATGTGAATTAATAGAATTTTATTTCTGTACCTTATTTGGAATTCAGTGACAAGAAACTTGTTATTATTAATTCACATGTTTCCGAATGTGCTGCAATTACTTGCAGCAGATCTGAAACATAAGTTTACATTGCATGATATAATCATTTAGGTGTGACATGAATATGGAAAGCCAGGTTGTTTACTTCCTGAATCTCCTCCATAAGATATTTGTGGAATGCAACTCTTCGGGAGAAAGTTCTTTGCAGAACAGCCAGAGTGAGGTAGGGTCTGGTTCTGCTTCTCAGGAGATTGGGGTTGTGTCTCAATCTGCAGTGGACAGCACTGTGGAATCCCAGCAGGCAGTTGTGCAGTATCTCAGAGTGAGTGCTATTTTCAATTGTTAGTGTTATCCTTTCAGTGATATGATTTTTACTGTTTATATCTTAAGCTGGTATGACCTGGGAGCCGTATTTGCACTCTACATAACAGAGTCAAGAGAACTGTGTACTGTATATGTCTGAATTGCAGCCCAGCTACTATGAGTATTACAGTCTTGTTCTGGTAACCGGCTACTAATTAACATTCATCCCAGATGGAAAATTTTGAGCCATTTAGAAATGGAACATGGATTACTCCATTCATTTGAAATGTTCATTAAGGCTGTGGTCTGCAGCCTTTTCTCTTTTCAGAACTGGTGAAACAGCAGTGAGTTCTTCAAGGTCTGGCAGTCTATTTGTCTCTTGTTACCATGTTTATACCTCTTTATGTACAGTACATGAATTAAGTTCCTCACCATTATCTTCATCATCTTGTCACATATTAGGTCATGTAGTCTGTTTTTATGTAATATTAAAATCTTAAATATCATAATCACCCATACTGACATTCTCAGTTAACCTTCATTTTCAAGGAATAAGGGATGCTGTTGGGTAGGGCTGGCATCTGGATTTTAACTTAGGGATAACAATTCATTTTCTGGGAATAGGGCATTTCAGACCTCAGGTGCTGCAGTGCTGGCAGACAGATTTCAACATGGGGCATTGGTATTAAAAAAAGTTCAATGGTAACTGCTGTGCTGCAGCATTCAGTCAGGAGTGTTTGTGATCAGTTCCTGGTTGTTGCCATCGTGTACTGCCAGCAAATCCACTGTTGTGGTTATACTGGAGAAATTGTTGGCCTTGCTAATTCCTGTTTCATTTAGTGACTGTTTTTTCAATCCCACAGGATACCGTAATATTTGTGGAGCTTGTATCAAGTGCTCTTCCCGTGATCTGTCAGCTGCTTCATTCTCGGCAAGTAACTGATATTATAGAGGCAATAGAGTTCTTCACATCTGCGTATCAATTTGGTCTGGCTGGTGCTATAGTTGGAATTCAACAAATGTTGGTCCTCATGTGGTCACGTGATCAGGCTGTCAGGGATGCAGTAGCTCTCTCATATAAAAAGTTATATCTTACCACAGAAAGTACTACACCAAGGTATGTGTATAATCGTAACCTTTGCACTGATATGTTTGTAAGTGTCATGTTGACTCCCTCAGAGCTAAATGAATTACGTAGCTAGAATTTGATTCCTGCTGACATTGGAAAATTTTCCATTCACCATGTCCACATTGAGCAAGTTAAACTACTGATGCATGTGACATATATGCTGGAGGTATCTGATTTAATTCTTTGCCAAGACTGAAGGTTTTTGTTATTTTCCTCCCTGTTTGTTTCCATTTAAGTTAAACGTCTGTAGTCAGATTCCAGTCAACTGCTAACACAGGTTGAGATTGCAGTGTATATAAAAGTTTCATTATGTGCTAGCTGGTTGGCCTTGCCATGCAACTTATGGGTAGTGACAGATAAATATGGAGCACTGGTTGTGTGGTGATCAGTGGGACAAGTGCTTGGAGAGGACCTGCCTCATTCTCAATTTTTGTATCTAAAATCATACATGGCATTGAATCTGAGCCACTGCAATGAGAAACCAGTGTCTGACTCGTGAACTGTGGCATGGTTTTCCTTTCAAAGCTAAGTAGATTAAGTGTTTCTGACAATGGTGTATAACAGTAAATGTGGCTATTAGCTATTTGGGGCGATATGTATTGTCTTGAGTTGTTACAGAAACTGGTTTTGTTTCTGTTATCAGGTGTAAGGAAAGAAAGGTTCCCACTCAGGCCTGGTAGAAAGAGATGGTTCTAGTTAGTTAGTTATTGGAGAGGGTGGGTTTCTCCATGCACTTAGACCTGTCTTGGTCCATTGTGCTTCCATCTATGATATTCTACCAGTCTCTATATCCTACCAGTACTGGTGCTTACCATCAGTCCCGCCCAGCCAGCGAGACCGGCTCTACTAGCTGAGAGGTATCTATAATGCTTCCCCCCTCTACCAGAGGTATTAGAGACTGCTGTTGGGCGGGAAACGTCTGTAATTTGGCTCAGTGACCTTTGGAGATATGAGGTTCTTTTACGTGCCGTAAAGCTACAACACGGGACCCACGGCTTAAAGTCCCTCCCGGAGGACTTGTTCCCTGAAATTTTCCGCCCTTAAACATTCGACGACCTCCACTGGGTATTTGAACCCGCGTACTATGAGTCATGAGGTGGGAACGTTACCTCTAGACTATGGAGGCCGCCATGTTTCTAGTTACTGGACAAAGAGTTCTGTACTAGATCTTTCTACAGACAAAAATGACCAGGAACATCCATCTGATACTAGAAACATTCAGTTACTGAAACACTGTTAGAAAGCTCAAGACAGTAGACAGTGTCCAAAATGAGAGTCACATTTATCATTCCGTTCCAATTCACCATACAATAATCATACCCTTGTGTTATTTTTATTATTTATTTAACAATACTATCAGTAGCTCATACTGTGTAGGATCAGAAGGTATGATTGGTAAATTGTAGAGGATTTGGAAGGGAGCAGTCATGATCTAATCAAGGTATTATCCTGGAATTTACTTGGAGGTACTGAAGAGAACTTTGAAACCTTAGTTAGGATAACTGGTGCCCTAGCTGGGATTCAAACTGAGCACCTTCTGAATACAAATCTAGAGCATTACTGTGAGTACTATACTAATCTGTTTGGTGCTGTGGTATTAATCTTGATTATGCAGTGAAGCCCAGTTTAATTAAGGTTTCTATGGGAATCAATGGCTCTAAACATTAAAGTGAAGAAATTCATAAATGGGGAAAAATTAATATTGAGACTATTGACTGTGTATCATTGAAATTGAATGTTAAATGAGGGAAACCCTAAACTGAGGAATAGTAAATGGGGGACAACTATATTGCTGTTCTTGTATGAAGTAAAAATGTTATTCTTCTAAGTTTACTATAGTCTGTATTTCTGCCTTCATCAGGGCTCATGCTGTTCAAGTTGTGAAAAATTTGAGTGGATTGTTAAAAATTGTGAATGTGGGGCAACATGCTGCATTCGAGGAACTTGTCAAGAACTGGGTTAAGAATGGTTCTATAGATAAAGCCTGCATACAGGTATGTTGCATTGACATTTTATAATGTGTATAATCATGACAGAAATATAGTTCTTATTCAGTTTACTTTGACATCATTGTTTCATGTATGACTGAAACACACATGTACAAATAATAGTGGAAACAATTTTTGTGCAGGTGATGTGGGAGCGGTTTTCACTTAACATTCCTGATACATCAGAAGAGGATAGTCTGGCAGCCCTGATATTGTTAGGAATGGTGGCAAGGTATGTGTTTTGTATTTAACATGCGCAGTGGCTGATGAAATTCTCAGCGTGGAATTTATCTTTGTTGGGTTCTTGGGAGAGAATACATGCATTTAACTGTGGTGCTTGAACTTTATGTATTTTTATAGTTGCAGTTTGATTAAGCAAAAATTGAAGATTTTGAGTTCCATATGTTATTTAGTTGGTAAGCACATTGTGATTTAAATTTCTTGAAACATTTTTATATGGTATGATTTAGTATGGATTTGAAATATGACCTTTCGAACGAAAGAAATTAAATTACTGCAAATGTTAGAAACAAAAGTGTTCCAGAATGTAATGTGACCTAAGAGCAATGAAATAAGCTTGTAATTAAGATATCACATGATCAGAAACTTTTAATTAAGCATAATTTTTAAGATTTCCTTAGCAGTGGTTACTTAGATTGTGATCTTGTGATTTGACACCCTATAGTCCTATAGGCAGATACTAGTGTTTTGGAGGAACATTTTGCCTCCATCTTTACAGTTGAAGTGTGTAGGTTGGGGAATTGGCTCACTTATATACACCAGTTGCAAGGAAAATGGTCATTGATACTAAAAAATGGGGACAAAGAAATGAAGCTTGATATTGGCTATGTTTTTATCCCACAGTTTGCCCCTTGTAAGGGTTGTTTTCCTACCAACCATTCCCATTGGCCTGGATCAGCCTGCATTTCCTTACCCTCTCCCTTGGGTCTCAGAGACCAGCTTTCTTGTAAACTGCCTACATAGCCCAGTCAGTTTGTCAACCTATACTTCAACCCTGAATGTGGAGTCAGCATGTTCCTCCAGAATATCAGTATCTGGCTGCTAGACTACAGAGTACAGACTACTACTACCCAAAGGACCACAATCAAAACATTTATGTAATTAGTATATTGGAATCCAAGGAATATTGGAATGCATATTCAATTTTGGTGGTAAACTTCTTGGAAAATGACCACCACATAAACTGAGGATGTGGTGAGAAACTGACATGTAGATAGATCTCAGGGAAATAGGTTATCAGGATGGGAGATGGATAGAATTGGCTCAGGATCCTCATCTCTCTATTTTGGTACTGGTTGTGTTGAACTTTCAGGTCCTTAAGCAAGTTAGCCAGTACACTGACTGATTGAACACCCCCTGATGATGACATCCTGATTTCAAAACATGTCAGGATATCAGTTACTTTAAATTAATTAAATAACTATCATATCATGTTATGATTTGACAAAGCCTTGATAAGTTGTTTAAATATGCGGGATACTGAATTTAAATCAAGACTGAAGAAATCATGTATGAAAAATATTTTGGTATCTGTTTTTAGATAGGGTGACTTAGATTTGTATCATGTCTTTCTTGAAAATATGAAAATTCTGCTCACCTTTCAGGAGTTTATTGACAGCTGCTTTCTTGCTTAAGGAGATAGATCAGGAAATTGGATTTAAGTACGTGCTGTGGTCATAAAGTATTGAACCTTTGGTCGGCAGAAATACATTTATTGATTTGGAGGTAGAAAACCCTAATCCCCTTCAAAGTAGTCTCCTTGGTAATGCACACACGTCTCCCAGTGCTTCCGGCATTGTTGGAAACACTTCTGGAACGCGTCTTTTGGAATGGTGATCAGCTGGGCCGTCGCATTCCGCCTGATGTCTTCTCTTGACTCAAATCAGGTTCCTTTCAGTGGGATTTTCAGCTTGGGAAATAGCCAAAAGTGACACGGAGCCATGTCGGGGGAGTAGGGAGCCTGACAAACCACAGGGATGTTGTGTTTGGCGACGAAAATCTGAATCAGATGCTCAGAATGGGTGGGTGCATTATCATGATGGAGCTGCCAAGTTTTTGCTGCCCACAGATCCGGTCGTTTGCGCTGCACAGCATCACGAAGGCGACGAAGGACCTCCTGGTGGTATTCCTTCGTGATGGTTTGGCCTTGTGGTGCGTACTCATGATGCACAACCCCACAGGAGTCAAAGAAAACGGCCAACATGACCTTGACATTGCTGTGGACCTGCCGTGCTTTTTTTGGCCTCGGGGATGTCGGATGTTTCCACTGTGACGACTGAATCTTGGTTTTCAGGTTGTACCCATAAACCCACGACTCATCGCCTGTGATCACGGTGTTCAGAAAGTTGGGGTTACTGTTTGCATTGTCGAGCATGTCCTGCGCGATTTCCAGACGGCGTTGCTTCTGCTCCACTGTTAGCAGTTTCAGTACAAATTTTGCGGACACTCTCCTCATGCCCAAATCCTCGGTCAAAGTTGAATGTACCAATCCAATGCTTACCCCTATCTTGTTCGCAAGTTCTCGGACTGTGATACGATGGTCCTACATGACCAAAGTCCGCACTTGCTCAATGACATTCTCATTTCGGCTTGTTGAGGGTCTGCCTGAATGCGGTTCGTTGTCCACTGATGTGCAGCCATCTTTGAACCGGTTGTACCACTCCTTTATCCGTGAGTTGCTCATGGCATCGTCCCCAAAAGCCTGTTGAATCTTGCGATGGTTTCCACTTGGGTATCGCCAAGCTTTTGGTAAAATTTGATGCAATATCACTGCTCATGTTGTTCCGTCATTTTACACCTTACTGGAATCCGATGGGCGCTCACTACACGTCCTCACTCATAGGCCAACTGCCAGTGACTGACGCTTTCTGTGGGTGGGAAAACATTCACGACTGTGAATGAATGTCCCCTCCACATCTCCACCAAAGGGAGCCTCCCACGCTTCATTGGTTTACGTGGGAAAAAAGAATGTTCGATACTTTTTAAACACACCACGTATTGTAGTAAGATAAATATCTAATTATGTTTTGTTTCAGAGCTGAGGTGCAGACTGTGTCAAGCAATATCCCTGTGTTAGTTAGCATTGGGCTTGGAGAAAGAGGGATGAGGAATTATAGACTTGTGAAAGAAGCGTGTCAAGTTCTGCTGAAACTGGTGGTACAGAAACCACCAGTGAACTCACCAGTTCCTTCACTTAGGTCAGTAATGATGACATTCTCACCATTACCTCTGTACATTACAAGCCAGAATATCGCATGTAGTAAAATGGCTGTCTCTGGACTGGATGACCAGAATTCAGTGCCCAGCAGGGACAGAAATTTTCTTTTCACTTTTCTGTTCAATGGGTACTGGGAACACATTCCTGGGAGAGTAAGCAACCAAAGCATCAAGCTGACGTCTCATTTCCTTCTAAGTCAACAATATATGGAACTTAATGTCAACGTCTACATTCCTTCATGGCACATTATTTATCCATAGAGGCAAATTCATCTTTATCATTTTATTGGCAACATAACTTCTCAGTTCAGTGGAGGAGCGTAAAGAATGCTGCTGCTACATGTGGCAGGTCTCTGACTAGCAACAAGGTAGAACATTAGAGTACACTGACTAGCTGAGTAGTTATGCAAGCTCTTACTTTCTCATGATGGAACCTTGAATTAGTTGTCCCACATTCTGAGTTCACGTACTACCGCAGTCAATAAGTTTGTGGAATGGCTGCAAAGCATCGTACGGTAATTTACTGCCAATATGTTTCAGCAATGTTTTCAACAGCTATATCAACGTTGGCAGACTTGTGTAGCGGCCAACGGCAACTATTTTGAGGGCCGATGTGGATCTGCGTAAGTGTATGTGAATACCTTGTAATGTGATGCGATAAAACCACATTCCACCAACTTAATGGCTCTTTTGTTTTTGAGGAATGCAAAAACCGACCTTATATCATGGGCCATTATGTCATGCCTGAACCGTTGCATCAGATCTCTGTTATATAAGATTCTTCTGTCTCTCAAATTTTCTTCCTGTTCTATTTTCCTTTGGTTCCTATGAGCCGTGGGCAGTTGTTATAATGCATAAAGTGATCTACCTCCACTTTTGCTGCATTGCTGGGCAACCATATAAGTTTGATAATGCATAAAGCTGCCAGTGTTAATTGCTGTTTTGTCCTGTGGCAACCATTGAATTCATAATGTGGATACCATACAGAGCATTGGTGGTAAGTAACAGAAAAGATGAATGTTGTCAAAACCTTTCATTTTTAGAATCTGAATTTAACGATAAGAATAATTTTGTGTTTGAAGGATTTGAGACTCTTGTGTTAGTGCTTATGAAGAGTTCTGTCCTTTGGGATATAATGAAAGTCAAACAGTGTTCTCCCAAACATTGAAAAATATATGTTTACTTAACCTAGATATTAAAGTGTTTTTAACGTTGAAAACGTTATTATATGTGGTTGCAAAAGGAATGAAGCTGCAAGTAACAGAAAGTGTAACAATTTATCCATAAGTAACAGAAAATATAACAATTTGTCTGTAAGTAACAGAAATGATAACAATTTGTAATTATTGATACCTTCGCTACAAATAACCAAAGTTCTGTTGTTGACTTCTTTACCTTGGAAATGTCCTCAGCAAAGTGTAACAATTTGTGGTTATTACTACCTTTGCTACTAGGAAACTGGTGATCTGTTGTTGACTTTGTTACCTTTGAAATGTCTGGACATATTGCGAGTGAAATACGTTAATAAATGTGAGCTTCTCAAAAATGCAACCCATTTTGGTTCATTGCTTACGGTTTAGGAGTTATGACCATTTGTGAGGAATATGGCTAATTCATTTCCATTGTTTAGTAGATTACACAATACTATAGGCAAGCTGCGAGCATATGACGTCATGCACTGATAAGATGTCCTCTGGTAATAGTCGTGCTGCATATATGAGACACTGAGAGTAGAGGAAATGAAAGTGGTTAGAAGAACCAAACAAATAAAATCAAATGCCAAACAACAGCATGATTATAGAGAAACATAACAGATAGACTTGAAAGGATTCTGACGATGGTGTATACTGTACTTCTTTTGGCTTATTTTGGACTTCACCCATCGTCTGATATGTAAAAGACAAAAAGACAAAAAAACCACGACGTTTCGGAGACTGGATCTGTCTCTGAAACATCGTGGTTTTTTTGTCTTTTTGTCTTTTACATATCAGACGATGGGTGAAGTCCAAAATAAGCCAAAAGAAGTACAGAAACATAACAGTTTATCTGCTGAATTGTAGCAGTCTATAGATTACTGTAACTGTAGCACACAAAATAAAGTCTTCAATATCTGTTTGCTAGTGTTGCTTGCTAATGAATCTTACCTGGTTAACACTTCACAGCTAAATATCCAACTACTGAACTGCCTTCTGAATTCTGTTATGAATGAATTGAATTCACAATTGAACTCTTTTATAAGTTTGGGAAAACCAAATAGAAGCTATTTGTTTCCTGTATCTGTTATAGTGGAAATGCCTGGTGTTCCCAAGATTCCTTGTATCACCGGGAACCTTTGTTGAATCTTTGTTGACATGAGAATGAGTTTTAGCAAGCTGTTGCCTAGCAAACGGACTTCTGCATGTTCGTTGCTATACCGGCTTTGAGGCAGTGTTTACCGAAATGTTGCCTACCAAATGATGGTTGGAGCATTTGATACAGACCCCCCTGTACAAATGCTATGACTTTATTCAACATTTGTAAATGTGGGTAACATGCCTGAAGATACTTTTGAATTAGATGAAATCAACCAACATTTTCAGTGTTAATCCTGGGAACCAAGGTTCCCCAATCTTTTTTTTTTCCATAACTACTGTGTAGTTTTTTTCTTTTCTTTTTTGGTATAAAGTTCGATGACATACAGCATACCATCTTGTCACATGTCGTATGTTGCACATGTAACGTTGATGAGCTGTTCTTACAAAATGTTGCTAGTATCGCTTTATTCTCGCTTAACTTGTCTCTTTGTAGTCGCTTTATACCTGCCGTTATCTCTTTTATACTTTGATGACAGTATTTTGGTTGCTTTATGTTTGAAGTACTGTGTATGAGTATTTACTTTTCAAGCACAACATACAAATTTGCATTGCTGACTGTCATTAAATCTACAGCAGTTTAGTTGGAAACATTCATGACATGTAGAGATGTCATACCCACTATGATGCGGACATGTCATACTCACTCGTTGATTTCACAGCAAGAATGAGGATGAGTGGATTGCATGATGTTTTGTATTATGTAATGGGATACACCAGTTTTGATTAATAATAGAGTTTATTTTAATTTGCAGATTTCCAAAGGATCATGATATCTTCACGAGCATTATTAAAATCTTGAAGTCTGGATTCTGGAAAGTGGATGAAAATTATTACATACCAATGTCTTCTGAAGCCATAGGTGTTATATATCAGGTAATATTTTATTTCTTATTTTGCTTAATGGTTGAAAATCTGTTAATCGAACCCCATGTCACAGAATTATCCTTGGTATTTACCCAGATGGTCAAGAAATTCCTTGCTCTTACGGAACCTGAAAACTCATCCTCATGTTAACAATAGGATCACACTGTAGGGTTATACCTAACCATGTTGAAACGAGTTCATATCTTTAGATCCCATTTCTGTAATATTAAAATATTTTCACATGTATGAGTGTGGCTATAGATCGTGTTTGGATTGCTAATTGGATTTATTGATCACTTACAGATCATAACTACAAGTAACTATAGAGCTATCACTAATTCACACCCTGTGTAGTTCACCGAATCACGTACAAAGTCTTCTCAGTCTGTTGCATGTTCACTGGTTGTCTGGTAACAGCTTCCAATGCCATAGGTACCTCAATTTTTGTGTTCATGACTTTGCATCCTTGCTGGCTGTTGTCTATCTCACTGCAGCTCCTGAGCTGGCTTCCAACTGCTGAACCCTCAACTTAGTTGAGTGATAGGGCCTCAGAGCACACCCAACAGAAAATACCGTTTCTCTGTTGATTTGGGTGACATATCACGTGCCATGGCAGTGGATCTGTCCACCTGGTGCCAGACTGCGTGACAACACTGCTTCCCACAGCTCTCATACTGTTGCATAATGTCACTGCAGATGCAGCTGTGACCTGTTCCTCTATTGTGTGTGCAATGATTGTTGTGCTGCTAAGTTGTTTACTGTGTTGCAACCTAATAACTGCTCTCTACATGCTAAAATATATTACCATCGGTACTTATATCTCTTATAGTATCTTCTCCTGAAATGTCCCTACAGTTCTTATTTTCCCATGTATACTGTGTGTCGGATGCATCTTGTCCTTATATTTCTTTCTATGCTTTTTTTATTTAAAGACTTTTTCTGTTTTGTATTTTCTTGATCACGTACAAGCTATATTGTTGAAAGCCATAAGTAGATTTATGAACTGGCAGGACAAGTTTTTTTCACTGGTGTTCTTGAATGTCAAATAAATCCAACCCATGAGATTCAGTGCTTCTCATTTACAGCATGGAAAGGATTGGCACTCACCTCCTGGTCTTCCATTCCAAAACCTTTGTCTTAACCACCTCAGGTTACATTATCTGATATAGAGCTCCACCTGGCTCAGCTACTGAATCTCAAATAACCTACAGTATGCCTGCCAGTAGGCAAGACCTTGGCAGATTAAATGGAGCGAGGGTAAAAGCCATAAGTCAACTGGTAGGAAAGGAAGGGATGGAAAATACAGGGTGTATAGGAAGGCGAGAGCCTCAACATCTCAAAACCGTATGGGCCTCCATGGCCTGTTACAAGGATACCTTTACTTTTTTACTTATAGCAAGGCAGCAGGCTGTTTCATAGAAGCTGAGTCAAGATGTGTATGTGTGTGTGCGTATGTACATACATACATACATACATGCGGTAGTCTGTTGTGACAAGTACAGTTTGTAACAAGAAGTCTGTTTTGATGAGCATTTTCCAGATCCACCATAAGATTAATCATGTTAAGCACAGCAGTATTTTTTGGTTTTAATTGAGAATACTCATCACATTTCCATTTAAGAGGTGGGATTCATGTAATCATATGTATGAAATTGTGGCTTAGCTACTGATTTCTGTTCTTCAAGAGTCAAATGAACACTTCTGGCATCTCTGCATCTTGACCAATTTGAAGTGTGAATGAAAAGAGGAAGTGGGGAAGAAAGACTATCTGAAGGTTAAACTTTGGTGGTATGTCTATGCTGCCTGCTGTCATGAAGAATGGTGACTGATACATTCCTGGTAGATTCATGTGACAGTGCAACAGTGTTGTGCTATTGATGAGTTTCAGTCAAACCTTCATCTTGGTAATCATCTGTGTGCAGTTGCTACTGAATTCCATTGTATTCATTTTGAGACTGTAATTGTTGTTGCCATATTTAAGTTTATATACGTTTAAGTTCTGTAATAGTGTTACATAAAGATATGACCAGGTTGTTGAAATAAATATTTAATGTGATACTCGTTTCAGCTGGCAGAGCAACNGTAGTAACTTTCCAAAACCAGAGATACCATGTATGCGAGATGTCTCATTTGAAGGAGAAAGCTCTAGATCGCATCAAGTGGAGGAACTGTTTTGGAAGAGACTGTGGACCTGTCGTCTTGACAGATTACTGATGAATGAATGATTTAAGTTTATATACGTTTAAGTTCTGTAATAGTGTTACATAAAGATATGACCAGGTTGTTGAAATAAATATTTAATGTGATACTCGTTTCAGCTGGCAGAGCAACCTGATGTCATCTGTCAGGAATTATTAAAAGATCTTCTTAATCAGGTGAAGCATGGAAGACCACCTGAAATTCTAGGAAATAACGAAATATTTGATGGTGAGTACATGATACATATGTGTAATACACCATTGTAAGTGCAACACTTTCATAACTTGTGGTTTAGAACACCATGTTTTCATATGTATTGTCATGTGTAGGTGTATAACTCGACAAATAACTCGACGCCATATTTGATATAGCGAATTTTATTTCACATTCGCTCTTACAATCACACAATTTACAGATCCACAATTACTGCTATCTGCAGTATCACAAATACTACACTGCAAATGCCAGAATACAACTGACTGGTTGCTGGCTAACTTGTTACTCTCCGCTGGCTAAATGGAGAACTGTTGATCACACACTGGCTATGAATAGTCTTTGCTGCACTGTATCTAGCCTCGTTCCGGACAACTCAGAAAATAGCCACGTAATAGGCACCATTATTGTCTGGTGCCGTGTTGCTAGCAACGCTGTCCGAGGTTGTTGACTGCTGCCTAGCAACCGCGGTATCCCTAGGTGACGTCACCGCTGGCGGGGTAGGTGACGGAGTGTTGACTCGCCTGTTACCTTAGTAATGACAGCAATCCGATAGCGTTACGTAACCGCTGGCGGGGAGTGGGGTGTCCCTGCATAGCACAACACGTCACAGTATTTACAACATGATTTGGTCACGTGAGTTCATCATCAGGTACATGTGATGATTTGTGTGAATTACTGGGTGGTTTCAGGAAAGTCCCATTTTTGTTGGAATGGCTAAACAATGTTACATCCCCAGAAATGCCTAGACTAGCGTTCTGATTTGGCTCATAGTATTGGAACAATTTCTTTTGTAGATGCAGGTGTCCCGCATTTTATGAACTCCCTATTTATGAATTTGTGCTATAATGAAGCATGTTAATTTGTACCTGTTTTTACTTAAACTCTTTTTTTCATCAGAATGAATAACTTCGTTCATATGGAGACTTTTTGCGAAGATGGAGGAACATACACCTTTGTAGTTGGCAGACCTCCCAGTAAATATAATTTATTGCTGTTGTTACTACACTGACATGCAGCTTATATTTGTTATATAGCCATTAAAACATACTTAGGAGGCTTTGTTCGCACAATAACAATACTTCATCATTGCATTTCATTGCCTATGAGAAAATAAATATGAATATAATAATACAGTTTTATTTACAGCAATGAAGGTCATGAACAAGTAATACTGTCTGTATTTCAGTTCTTATTTATGACTAAATTTTTTGTTAAAAAGTGTTGGGGTCTTTCTGGGACTTATGAATGAGTCAGTAAGTGAATATTGTTTTGAAGAAAGCAGTCTTCTGGGATTTGGCACCGTGTATATGTGGTGTTAACCGACGTTTCGGAGGAACGTATCGCCTCCATCTTCAGGGTAGAAGAAAAAATATAAGAATTCTGCAAGCAAAGAGACACACATAGCTGTGTATATCCCCACACAGTCTGCTTTTACCGGTTCTCACGGTCTCTTCGCTTGTAGAATTCTTATATTTTTTCTTCTACCCTGAAGATGGAGGCGATACGTTCCTCCGAAACGTCGGTTAACACCACATATACACGGTGCCAAATCCCAGAAGACTGCTTTCTTCATAGTCACCACCGTGAAAGCCTCAAATCTTACGAATATTGTTTTGTTTTTGATTTCCAAATTTTCACCTTATGAACAATTTTTGTGGAATGAATGACCTCTGTAAGTTGAAGGATACCTGTACTGTGGATGCTGTTATCTAAGCATCTGTGAAGACCATTTTTTTGTTCCTCCTAGGTATAGATGTCAACTTTTACATTTTATCAACATAACAGGACTCTGTCACATACAGCAAATGTAATGCTGAATGATCTTAGCATTTTCATGATGAGTTCTGTCTGATTGGTTTCCTGAAGCTTCAGATATGGCTTGTCCTGGCTGCATTGCAACCCTTAAATCTTGAAATATTTTTACAGAAATATTGTGAGGTTTTCAGGAAGTAGCCAGGTCAAATCACAACTGTACAATTATAATTAATTCTCTTGTAGTAGGACCTGAAACATCAACACAACCAGTACCAAAGTAGAGAGATGAGGATCCTGAGCCAATTCTATCCATCTCCCATCCTGATAACCTATTTCCCTGAGATCTATCTACATGTCAGTTTCTCACCACATCCTCAGTTTATGTGGTGGTCATTTTCCAAGAAGTTTACCACCAAAATTCAATATGCATCTCTTATCTCCCCACCACAGCTACATATCCAGCCCACTGCACTTCCTTGGATTCCAATATACTAATTACATAAATGTTTTGATTGTGGTCCTTTGGGTAGTAGTAGTCTGTACTCTGTAGTCTAGCAGCCAGATACTGATATTCTGGAGGAACATGCTGACTCCACATTCAGGGTTGAAGTATAGGTTGACAAACTGACTGGGCTGTGTGGGCAGTTTACAAGAAAGCTGGTCTCTGAGACCCAAGGGAGAGGGTAAGGAAATGCAGGCTGATCTAGGCCAATGGGAATGGTTGGTAGGAAAACTACCCTTACAAGGGGCAAACTGTGGGATAAGAACATAGCCAAGCTCAAGCTCCATTTCTTTATCCCCATTTTTTAGTATCAATGACCATTTTCCTTGGAACTGGTGTATATAAGTGAGCCAATTCCCCAACCTACACACTTCAACTGTGAAGATGGAGGCAAAATGTTCCTCAAAGCACTAATATCTGCCACTAATATCTGTGTTGCTGCAATGAAGTCTTCATTGTACGAGGTCTGACAATAAAGTTCGCGAACTCGCCACTGTGTGCTTGTCATGGCAGCAGTGGATAGAACCTCAGTATGGTTTGATGACATTGGCATACCAAGTATACTATTTGGAAGTTCTGAAAAGGCTGTGTAAAAAAGTTAGATGGAAATGACCCAAACTTTTTTCCAAGTACTCGCAGATCTTGCATCACGACAGTGCACCTGCTAACATGGCACTGTCTGTGAGGGAGATTTTAGCTAGTAAACAAATAACTACTGGAACACCCTCCCTGTTCACTGGGTCTAGCCCCCAGTGACTTTTTTTCTGTTCCTGAAGATAAAGGAAATACTGAAAGGAAGGCATTTTGATGACATTGATGATGTCAGGGGTAATACGATGGCAGCTCTGAAGGCCATTCCACAAAACCTGTTCTAAAATTCTTTTGAAGGGTGGACTAGGCACTGGAATCAGTGAATAACATCCCAAGGGGAGTACTTTGAAGTCGATCACAGTGATATTCAGCAATGAGGTATGTAGCACTTTTACCGCAATGCGTTCGTGACCTTTATTGTCAGACCACGTAAGTCATCCTTGCTCTGCCACTGTTTTACTGTATATTGTAACGTGGATGGCGCAACAGGAAGTAGGGGTCACGTGAACTCTGCTTCTTCACGAGTGACGTCACGTACCCCCACTCCTCCCATCATTACACAACGCTTGGTAAACACCCCTTCCTGATAGGCTGTGATGTCACGCAACAGGCGAGTCAGTGGCGATTATTGCTAGGCAGTGCGTAGGTAGAAACACCTGACAACAATACCTGATATCTGTTGTCGAGCAGCAATGTGTTCTCTATGTTGTCCGTGCTGAGCCTAAATAAGGAGCAGCAAACACTATTCAGGAGTAGTGAGTATTGCCCCGGTTACTAGTATTCAATATTAGTTGAAGTCCTGCAGCTACGAGTTGAGTTGTATCGAGTGCATGGCAGTGACTCCAGCAGGAGAAGTAATTGTGATACTGCCGATGCAGTAATTGAGAAATTGTGAATTGTGTAACTGTAAGAGCGAGTGCAATAAATTTGCTAAGATCCAAGACAGCGTGAAGTTATTTATTGCGTTACATACCCAACACGTGACAGTATATTAAATTTTCATGTAAAACATTTTGTAGGTGTGTATTTAACCTGCTCTTATGCCGACATACGTGTAAGGAAGTTTTATAGTAGTTTTGATGCATATGCTTTGAAACCATTGAATTAATTTTATGTGGGGTACTCAGTATACAATATAAGATGGTATGCAAAATTAATTTCTAGCCCTTTGGAGCTTAGTTCTGTGCTGTATCGGTTAACTTTATCAACATTGGCATTCCAGTGCTGTATCTTTTATTGATTATCTGACTACATAATAGGTTTATGCATATCTACCGTCAAGAAGGATAGCCAAAAAAAAAATATTCACTAGCCCCAGTGTCTGTACAAAGTTATCTTAATCTTATTATTGTAATAGCTGATATTAACTTCAAACTGCTCATCAATTAAGAATGTTGTATTTCTATACACCGTCATTCTCGTAACTCTAAAGTTTTCTCTCCACATAAAAAATCTTAAAAATGCGATGGAAGCAAAAATTATGCTCATTTTCGTTATAAAGACTAATGAATGTCTTTCTGCCACTTTATGGTTGACATAAGGGAAAATAGTTAGAAAGATACTCCCAGTTTGTTAACACCAGTTCTGAAGAAAGGCGGAAAAAATGGAAACAGAATCAATTAATGTAAATGACTCTTATGAATCTGCTTGCTAGCTTACACACTCAGCTTGTACCATGCATGCAGGCAGATGTAAATTAGTGAAGGGCACAAGATTTTCGAGAACATAATTGGAATACATGTTATCTCACATATAACATGCACATTGCAGTGTCGTATCTACTTTTATATTGAGTGATTTCTTTTGAATTTCAGGTTTGCAAGGGGAACATAAAGACACTTGTTCCGAGCCTAACACACACGTTTCTGCTGAGTGCTCTTTTGAAGTTCTGTCTCGCTTCATGTTCATGATTGGTCACATAGCACTTCGTCAAATGTTGTATCTTGATGTGGCTGTTTTTTGTGAGCTTAAACGCCGTAATATGCTTCGTGAAGAAAGAGATGAGGCTCTGAATACCAAAAGCAAAAAGAAAAAGAAACAACAAAGTAGTAGAAATAATTCATTGCAAAATACATCTTATGTGTCCATGAGTGCATCTGAAACTCCTAGGAGCAGGCAGGTAATTAACCTGTTTAGTGCCAATGTAGATTAGACTGATGATAAAGAAGGCTGATTTCTCCATAACTCATACACTTACATCAAAACCAGATATCACAACAGAGTACCTGTCTCTCCTACCTTGTATGCATGGGGTCTTAGGATCAATTCCTAGCATGGGAGCAAGCTATTCTGACAGATTTTTTCTGGTTTTCCTAGGCATCTCTGGGAAAATAGTCCCAATGAGGACATTGGATTTTTTTCAATTGACCTACTCCTCCCAGCCACACTATGGCCCTGGGGTCGACTCAGCATCTAACAGAAATGAGTACCAGGAATATTCTTGGAATATTCTTCGGGCTAAAGGGCGGCCAGCCCATGGGGCTGACAACCTTACCGCCATCTATGAGCCAATTGTCTAGAAAATGTGGGAACCTCAACATCTCACAACCCTATGGGCCTCAAAAGCCTGTTACAGGGATACCTTTAGTTTACTTTTATTACTTTGAAATAAACCATGATCTTTTCAATCCATTATCCGCAACCCTTCCATTGGAGGCCATATATTTTATGCATTTGCGGAAGTCATCACGGGATGGTGGGTGATTGACAGAAAACCAAGACAAATCTTTGATACTTGCAACTTTCCTGTGGTGATAAAAATGTAAAATTAATTAGCAGTAGGAGAAAATGTAAATGTTGGCAATTAAGCTAACATGTAATGTACTACTCTGTCCAAAAAGTATCTGACCTTGGGCCGGAAAAAAATAGTTCTGTATCTGGGTGATTACAATACCTAATAGCCCTCAAAGTAGGCCCCTTGTTACTCCACACACTTAGCCCAGCAGTCCTTCCATCTTGGAAACAGCCAGAAATCACAAGGAGCCATGTCAGGAGAGTAGGGAGCCTGGCGAACCTGCAGAATGCCATGCTTGGCCAGGAAACCCTGGATCAGGTGTGATGAATGAGCTGGGGCGTTGTTATGATGCAGCTGCCAGTTGCGTGCATCCCACAGCTCCGGTCTCTTGCGCCGAACTGCATCACGAAGATGGCGGATGACTTCTTGGTAGTACTCCTTATTGACAGTCTGGCCTAGTGGTGTGTACTCATGATGCACACCATCCCGGTAATTGAAAAAAACAGTCAGTATCATCTTCACATTGCTCTGAACCTGTCGTGCTCTTTTGGGCCTCGGGGATGTCTGATGCTTCCATTTTGACGCCTGGACCTTGGTTTCTGGGTCATATCCATACACCCACAACTTGTCACCAGTGATCACAGTCTTCAGGAACTCAGGATCCCTGTTGGTGCACTCCAGAATGTCCTGCGCGACCTCAAGGCGGAGTTGTTGCTGCTTCGGCAAAAGCAGCTTGGGCACAAATTTTGCCGCCACTCTTCACATGCCCAAATCCTCAGTTAAAATTGTGTTTGCAGAACCTCTGCTGATCCCAACCTCATCAGCAACTTCACGGATGGCCAAACGACGGTCCTCCATGATCAGTGTCTGCACTTTTTCAATGACATGAGCATTTTGGCTCGTTGACGGTCTCCTGGAACACTGCTCACTGTCTGCCGACATATGACCATGTTTAAAGCAGTTGAACCACTCTTTAATTTGAGTGACCCCCATTGCATCATCGCCGAAAGCCTGCTGAATTTTGTGAACTGTTTCCGCTTGGGTGTCCCCAAGTATCTGACAAAACTTAATACAGTATTGCTGCTCCAAGCGTTCCGTCATCTTGAGCGAAACGAGAATGTGACGAACCCGTGTTACACCACTTCGCTATCTGGCAGCCACAGATGCATCCGGCAGTGTTGCGAGTCAGCAAAAAATCACACATGCGCATGAAAATCCCTTCTACCACTACGCTCAGTTTCACCACCCCTTTGGCCATTACTTACAGCGGGAAAAAATAAAGTCAGATACTTTTTGGACACACGGTATATCAGTTATGCCTGATGTATGAAAAACTCTGTTCCTTGTGGAGGTTAATGCTTATGAAAACTAAGAATGGGAATTTCTGTAAAGGAATCGTGAGCTCTTCCCCCCCCCATGTACACTGCCTTTGGTGGGTGGCACTGAATGGGTTAGTAGTATTTCTCATTTGTCTATCCAACTTAATTGTCATTTTGTGTTCTTTGATTCAGTGCTTTCTGACACTTAATGCATCCCTAATATGATTCTTAAACATCCTTTATTGAAAGTGTTTCTTAGTTTGGTGTTCAAATCTATTATCTCTAAGATGGACCTTAAGTAGAGATTTCTCTGTAGTTACATTTCAGTGTATGTAGTTATATTTGAATATATAATTATGGATTTTTTTTTAAATACCTTTCTGAAGTTTTCAGTAACATGGTTTGAGATATGAGTATTCTTGCTATGTTTGTATGTTCAGAAACATCAGAATAGCTAAAGAACTATGCAGTCTATGTACAACTTTAATGTTCCATAATCATTTAGGAGCCTTCAGATGGAGATGATGAGATGGGAGTTGTAGGAGCTGTTGCTGATGACCAGGAAGCAGAATACATACGTAATATTTGTGAGAATGATATTGTGACTGGTGAAAGCCTTCTTGCTGCTCTTAGGTATGTTTCTGCACTTTTCGTAAAATTTGTATCAGCGTTGTCCTCTTATACTTCTGTTGGTTTTCAAGTTACCTGTTTTCTCAAAATTTTCTATGAACATTTTGTATGAATGTGTCTCCCATTTGCACACAGTGAGAACTCCATTTAAGGTTTCTCTGTGGGGCATTTGAGGGTACCTTAAATGGGAAAGATGTGATCTGTTTAAGTTTGAACCAAAGTGGATCATCCTATGACAGACCTTTTTCTTTTCAGTTTGTCTTTCTGTAATCCCTTCTTTCCGATATTCACTCTGTTTATACTCTGTTTTATATATCTTTGCTCATTTGGTCTTACCACCTTGTTGGTGTCCCCTATAATAATTTATTTGGGATTGGTATTCAGATGAGTCCTGTTGCTATCCATGCATAATGTATACCCATACCACAGTATTCTCAGTTTCCGCAGATTCTCTTGTACTGTATCTGTGAGGGTCATTTTTAAAGTAAGACCCGTTTCGTTATAAACAAAAGAAAACTTTATTCATCCAAATAATTTTAATGTCACTCCTAGATACAACATATGTTTAATTTTCTACATAGTCCTCATTACAGTTCAGACAATTGTTCAGACAATCTCCATGTCACAGAAATCATCCGTCAGTCTAACTAACTAATCTGTAATTGCTTGTGTTCATTTGTGAATGTTTTTGGAACCCATCTGGCACAGAGAGATATTAGGTTTTCGGACTTTATCCATCGTCCTGGTTTTTAAGGTAACTAAGAAAAATGCGATGTTTCGGAAACTGGATCTGTTTCCCTCACCCTCCGAAACGTCGCATTTTTCTTAGTTATCTTAAAAACCAGGACGATGGATAAAGTCTGAAAACCCAGTATCTCTGTGTGTTATACACCATTGTCAGAATCCTATAGTAATTATATCTGGCACAGATTTTTCTGTATTGGAGTTGAACTGTGACAGTCTTGTAGAGCACAGATCGTGAAACGTGGGAAAACTTTATGAAGCTCATGAATAGTGAATCTCCTGTTTTCTTGAATGTGAGCATCAATCCTGTCTTTCAGATCCTTAAGTGATGACAGATGGGCATCCAGATCACACTTCATTGTGCACATCTCTCCTTCCCCCATTAAACAAATGACACCACTTACACACATTTCCCTTGTTCATGACACCTTCCCCATACATGTTGACAAGTTGATGATGGATTTTGCCAGGGTGAATGTTTTTTTAGTTTAAAATTTGATTCACCAAATGCACCTCCCCGTCATTGGAATTAGTGATTGACATGGTTCTTTATAAAGCACTGTGACAGCAACCAATTCGCTCACTTTGGAAGTGGCAGAGGGTCTGATGACAGCTCTCAACCTTCAAAAACCTTCCATCAGTGACCTGCATGGGCAAGGTGTGCAGATGGTTCTTACTTTAAAAATGACCTACATAGTTTGACATCTGGCCTGGGTTCAAATTTTATTCCTTCTTATACAGAACTTAGTGCTACAAAATCTTCATGCCTTCTGCTTGGAATCTGGTTGTATGTCCCTTATTAAGTGTTGATAATGGCATACTCATATTGTCACATGTGTGGAGTGTGACTATAGATGGGGTTTGGATTGCTAATCAAATTTATTCTGCACATTGATACCATGTCACTACACTTTACATGTTACTATTACAGACACATTAGTGTCCACAGTCACACCTTCACTGCTGTTGCTTGGTAGTGGCTTCCAACGGCTGACATTCCTCATCCTCTGGGTTCCCGAACTGTCCCAGGCCTCAGCTACCAGCTTCTGACAGCAACAGCTCACAGTGACTGAACTGCAGCAGTCCTCGCTCACTCACTCACTAACCAGCTCACACATATAACCAGCATATAACATCTCGGTATGCACCGCACAGAAAACACTGTTCCTCTGTTGCTGTTTGTGGGCCGCTGCCTAGTAACAGTCATTGTCTAATTGTTTGTTTCATGGTCATTGTCTAACAATGGGTCTGTATACCACAATATAATATTGCTCATGAGAACGGCATTAAAGTGAATGCCACAGAATGCCCAAATACATATTTGGTGCAATGCTATGTTAATGTTATGCAGCAGCAAAGTTTTACTGCAGCCAATATTAAAAGGGTAAACACTCTCAGTTTTGTACCCATATGCTTTTCTCCATTTTCCATCCACATTGCTAAAGATTTAAGTGTTGTAACATGAATTCAATTTCACCCTAATAGAACATGGAATTTAATGTTGTTTTTCCCCAGTCCTTTGGTAGTGACAATATGTTCCAATCCCAACAAATATAAAAACATGAAGCTCCAAACTGCAGCAACCCTTACACTGGCAAAAATGATGATGGTATCTTCAAATTTCTGTGAGAATCATCTCCAGCTTTTAGTAACAGTGCTGGAAAAGGCGACAGAACCTGTTACCAGATGCAATCTTATTGTGGCACTTGGAGATCTGTCCTACAGATTTCCCAACATCATTGAGCCTTGGACACCCCACATATATGGCAGGTGAGAAAATTGAATCATCTTGTTTAATGTTTGATGTTGTTTAGCAGTGTCAGTCATGATGTAGCATTGTATGGCTTCAGTTAGCCTCCTCCTCTGATCTACCTCATTTTGTCTACAAAAAATGTCTACAGAATATTAAGCTGAAAATTTCAAATGAAGTTCATAGATCTATCAAAAGACCTCTTTATGGCTGTACTGAGTAGCCAGGATAGCATAGTCTGATAGTGACTGGCTAAGGGCTGGATGACAGAGGAGACGGAGTCCTGGTAGGATCAGAAATTTTCTCTTCTCCATGTCATCCAGACTGGTTCTGTTCTGGGGCTCACTCAGCCTCCTATCAAATGGGTACCAGGGTGCTCTTGCCTTGGGAGTAAAGTGGCTAGGGCTTGAAGCTGACGAGTCACCTAAAACTAATACCAAGGTCAAGAAAACGTGGATCTATGCATCCACTCCCCATACACCTTCATGGCATAGTGCTTAATTAGTTAAGCAGAGGGACAACTTTATATATATATACTGCCCCTGTCATTCAGTATGTAAGCTTTTGGCATTTATCTAGTAATATTTTGCAACCGTAGTAGTGACTCATGTTATCTGAGTGTGCACGTGTCCCACAACTGTCATTATAAACCAGAGGGTTAATGCACCTTCATGTGGTACACCTTTGTTTTTGTAAAAGGAGGTTCTGATCACAGTTAGCCTAAAATTTTGAATTCCCTTGAATCTTGAATATGAGTATCATTGTCTGGTTTTTCCTTTACATGCCATGGTCTGTGATATGACCTTGGAGCCATGCAAATGTGGTAGTAATATGTGGACAAGATACTATGCTGTGTCAAAGAAAGGTGATTGGCATGGCATACTGGTTGGCATTTCAGATTAAATGTTCGTTTATTGTGTCTGTATTCATAAAAACTTATTATTTCTATAGCAAGTAATGAAAATATGTTACCTATTGTAACAGTTTAAAAATACGTAAAAAATGTGATCTTTTGTTAGCATTTAACTTTTCTGAGGACATCATGGTTTTTTCAGAGAATGTGCTCACTTCTACAAATGGATCTATGATGGACTGTTTTTATTAGTCCTCGTTTAAATTGCCCAAGTTTGTGTGACATCTTTGTAAAGAAGTGTATGTGAATAATGCATTGAAATAAAAAATATTTCATGAAACCTTATGTTGTGATCACACACATTCAAGATAAAATGGTGCACATTACAGGCATAGTATGAAACTGGGCATTGTAAAGATTGTCCAAAAACCAAAAGCTAAGTGTGAAATCTATGCTGTTCTGTACATGTCCTAGGCATTGCTTGCAGTGTGAGACCTTATACCAGCAATATGTTTAATACAAGCTGAACAAATGAAGCATGCCTCAAAGCCTGGACCCAATTTAGACATGTGTTCAGGAGGTGCTCAGTTTGAATCTTGGGCCAGACACCAGTTATCCTGATGGTTTTCACATAGATTTTGTCAGTCCTTGTAGTCAGATTCCAGGATAGCTTGATTAGACCACAATTGCTTCTTTCCAAGTCCTTTATAATTCTTCATTCATCAGTTGTCCTACCATTTGACTGTATGTAGTCTGGATACTGACATTGCTGCAAAATGAACCCCAAAAAGAAGAAGCCTGAACTCTTATCCAGACAGTAGACAATCTTTCAACTGCTGGGTCATTAATGTGTTAAGCCTTGGAGAGTTCAGAATGACTGTACAAACTGAACAGACCACTCAACCCATTAATTCTGTTTATTCTTACATTGTCTGTTCCCATTGCACGTGAATTTTCATTAAGGCTGGGAATGTGGAACTTAATGAAGAAACTGCATAAGAAGTCAAAGTGTTTCAGCAAAGACCAGGGTCATGACTACATGTTGCTTGAAAGATATGGTATTTGTGCAGCAGGAACTTGTATTTTTGTGGAAGGTGAGGGCAGCATAGTTTTATACTGCCCCTAAAACTGTCAAACATTCTGTACAGTGCCTGAATTTATTATTTGTCTGTAACATGTAATCCTAAATGTTACATGCTTCCAATGTGTTAATGTTGGTAATTCCTTATTAAATTTTTGTTATTGAAAAAGTAAAATGGGGATGAAATATCAGAATAGTATGAGTGATTTGAATTCTGTAAGTAAGCAGAATGCTCGCTTAAGGCATTTAGTCTTGACATTTTCACATCCAGACAGCTTGCTGCCTTGCTATCTACACCAGCCAACAACTTTGCAGCTATTTACACTGCAGGGTGCTTGTTGATCGAACCAGTATAATACGCAGTTTGTCTGCCTTCCTGCCATAAATGTTGAATGCAGTTGCTTTTACTACATACATTTCTTGTTACAGGTTGCAAGACTCATCATCTGAAGTCCGCCAAGGCACAATGTTGGTACTCACAAATCTAATTATGAATGATATGGTAAAGGTCAAGGGTCAGATTTCAGAAATGGCACTCTGCATTGTTGACACAGAGAAGAAGATAGCAGGTAGAGACATGTTACATACCATTAGATGATAAAACAATACAGAATCTTTGTTTCTTCTTCAACCTGCTACTCTTTCCTTGGCTTTGATGTGAAGTCATATAATTTCTTTATCTATGCTTTGTGCTGCTTCAACTCATAATTACATACAGTATCTCTGGTTGAAATTTTGATATTCTCTCTAATTCTTTACCAATTCCTTTTTCTTTTAATTTGGTTATTTTATGATTCTGTAAGTACTGGGACTCTGTAGCATCAGTAACAAGATTATTAATGAATTTGGAGCAGTTGGTAGAATGAGAACTGGCAGGGAAAACCGAAGTACTTGGAAAACACCCACCTAGTGCCACTTTGTCCACCACAACATGCAGAAGCACACTTGAAGTTAATAAGACCCACTGAACTCTGGCTTACAATTTGGAAACATAGAGAATACCAAGTTCCCACTGCTGTTAGAACACCACATTAAGCTCTGTATCTGATATATTGATCAGTGTCTCATCTGCAATGAAATTCCCATTTAATGGTTTTTAGGAGATATCAGATTTGAACACTGAAGCGAGGAAAACTAAGTACAGTATACACCAAGTTATCTGTGCATGAATTATCTTGTTTGTGGGCAATCTGTATTACATTTTTAGATGTATCTGCAACCCTTAGGAGCACCTTTTAAGTTTTCTCCATCCCTGCATTCATCTATCTATATGAAAGAAAACAGATGGGTGGATTTTTATGAAATTTAATGTTGGAGAGTTATGAAAAATTATCAAGCCATTAAAATTTTCATTTAGATTGGACAGTTTTAACTATCACTTTGCAAGAAGACCTACATGCATATCTGCAAGTATCTTGAGCATAACTTGCAAAGTATTCATTTGGGTGAGAAATGTTTTAGGCAAAAGTTGTAGAGAAAAATGAATTATATTTTGTGTTCAATACACTTTTTCCATATGTCTTATGGGGTTTTGAAGTAACTGAACAAACCAGATGCAATGTATTCATTTTTTAATTTTTGTATTTAGCATTCACCACAACCGTAAAATATCTTGCATTATTTTTTTCCCCCAGACTTTTGTGTTTTTCCCCCCTTCATTGGCACAGATAACTACGAGTGTACTATAGGTGGAAATCTACACAGTTAGTTTAACCATAATTCAGAAATATGGAAAAACTGTAAGTTTAAAAATTTGAAATGGGAATTCACAATATCACTGGGAGCAGCAGAATTTCACTTGTGGTTACCCCCACCACAGATATAAATTCCAATAACCTTACAATGTCTACAGAGGCCAGGAAGATCAATGAAACCTGGAGATGTTTGTCACAGGGAGACATTTATAAAGATTTTTTTTCAGATATGGCATGCATGTTCTTCATGGAACTTTCCCAGAAAGGCAATACTCTATATAATGTGATGCCTGACATTATCTCAAGACTGTCCACTCCGGATTTAAAACTTGAGGAGGAAAAGTTTAAAACAATAATGAAGTAAGTATGAAGAAACCCAGAAGACGACTTTCTTCATAAGTATGAAGAAGTTCACATGTGAACATCATTGTCCATTCATGTTTTGTTCATGTGAATCTGCTTATGAAAGTACCTTCATAACTCTTCTCTGTCCACCTTTGAGGCTGTCTGAAGTGAGAATGGAGTGTGATGGCATGAATGCCAGCATTGATGCTTATAGAAGGGTAAATGCCTCTTGGTCTGTAGTGGAGAGGGATACTCACTTAGATCTGCCCCATTCTACTCATTATTTTTCACTCAGCACTGTTTTTTATTTCCAAAATTTCATGTTATTGCTAAGTGAATTTTTATTAGGAAACCCCAGTTTCATGCTTTAGGTTTGATGTTAACTGGTAAATAAGTTACATGAAAATAGAATTAAATGAAAATGAATGGAAGAATTTTATAATTTATATCCATGCCCATGAATCAAACTAATTTTTAAAGGAGAATAAGTGAATGAATGAATGAATAAATGAAGTTGAAGTTAATGGTGGTGGTGGTGATAAATATAGAATGTACTTACTTACTTACTTACTTATGGAGCTGAGCCCTTCTTGAGGAGAAGCCAAATCTGCAGCTACTCTAGAATTTCCCAGCATTTTATGGAACCTGAAGGTTCATTACCATGTTCACAAGAGCCCTCCACTGGTCCCTATCCTGAGCCAGATCAATCCATTCCATACCATCCCATCCCATCTCTCTAAGATCCATTTTAATATTTTCCACCTACCTACGCCTTGGACTTTCCTTCTGGCTTTCCCACCAGTATCCTATATGCATTCCTTTTCTCCCCTATTTGTGCTATATAACCTGCCCACCTCATCCTCCTTGACTTGATCATTCTAATTAGACTTGGAGAAGAGTACAAGTTATGAAGCTCCTCATTATGCAGTTTTCTCCAGCCTGCTTCACTTAATCCCTCTTTGGTCCAAATATTCTCCTCAAACAACCTCAGTCTGTGGTCCTCCTTTAATGTCAGAGACAAAGTTTCACACCCATACAGAACCACAGGCAAGATTATAGTTTTGAATATTCTAATTTTTATGTTTTTGGACAGCAGACGAGAAGAGAAAAGGTTCTGGACTGAATGGTAGCAAGCATTACCTCAGTTCAATCGCCTCTTAATTTCCTCCTGAATCGGGTTTCGATCTGTTATCGTTGTTCCCAAATATCTGAAATGTGCCACGTTTTCAAAACATGTTTCCTATCTTTATGTCATGATTTTGCCCTGCATTCTGGTGACGAGACAGCAACATATACTTAGTTTTCTCTGTGTTTACTTCTAGACCAACCTCCTTATTTGTGTCATTTAAAGTTATATAGAATGTACTTGCAGTACAAAATTTCACTGAGGAAACCATGTTTATATGTATGTCTATATATGTTCAGTTCTGTAACTTTCAGTTTTTATGTGCATTTAGAATTTGTTGTCAAAATAGATGCTGATATACAGGATTTTAAGTGTGTTACTTACGATGCTGAAGTAGGCTGTGCCATAATAGCTCAGGCAGTTAGCTGCTGGCTTCTCATTGCCATGGTCTCAATTCATTCACAGATCACATGTGGCATTTGTGGTGTTTAAAGTGGCACTGGGGAAGGTTTTCTCCAAGTACTTCAGTTTCCCCTGACAGTCCTTATTGCACAAAATTTTCATTCTCTCTTCTGTCATCCATATGTAGTTCAGTGAGTCATTTGTAGTGTAAATACTAAGAGGCTCAATCTCATGCCATCATAAGGATAGTAAAAATTCTAAAATTCTAGTTCTGGCCAATGTTGATGGAACCAGGGCTTGTTTTTCTACATGACCTTTATTGATTTCCTATTTGATAATACGGTGAAGAAACGTGTAAGATGGTTATTATTTTACATCAGGTGACTGCCTAGAACATTTTTCACAGCATGCATCCATTCATGGATATATGGGATGTATAGTTACCTCCCATGTATACATTAATAATTTGTCAAATTAAATTTAGGTAGAAGAGGACAAATTATTGTTGTTATTCAGTGTAAAATACAGTACCACTTACTTTCCAAAATGCCAAAGATTTCACATTCCACAAAAGAATGCACTTTCAGAATTGTATATTCAACAAACTAAAAGATCTTAAAGTTTGTGGCGATGGTACATTAATACAGATATTATGTTTCTGGTCATTATCCATTATCCTGTTTTAAATAGAAACACAACAGTGGATAATGTCCAGAAACATAATATTTGAAAGTAATAGTTATATAGAAGCTACACTTGGAGTATGTTAAAGGCCATGGCCATGTCCCACTCTTTGCACTTTGCACACTGTTTTGGACGTGTTACTGTAGGCTTGTCACTTGGATATCAGAATTGCCAGCACAATTCATATTTTATATCTTATGTTTGTGAACTTCTTTGTTACTGCTCCATTCATACTAATGTAGCTTTTGTAGGACTTTTGGATTATTAAAAACAAATTATTAGTGGCTTAAATTTCATTTGTAATAGTTGTATACAGGAACCCTATGTGTAATATGAGCTCATCATCATCCAGAACATTTTCTATGTTTAGGTTCATCATGGGTTTGATACAGAAAGATCGACAAATGGAGTCCCTTGTTGAAAAGCTCTGTTTGCGTTTCCGAATGTCACAGAGTGAGAGGCAGTGGAGTGACTTGGCATTCTGTCTTTCACTGTTACAATACTCAGAACGCAGTTTGCGACGGCTAAGTGAAAATCTGCCCTGCTATGCTGACAAGTTACATTCACCAAAAGTGTATGAGACTTTCTGTTCCATACTGGCTGGTATTAGCAAGACAACTAAACCCGAGCTGAAGGTTTGCATTATTTTAAATTGATGTAGCAATTTGTGTACAGTAATTCTAATTGATTGTTACTTATGGTATAGACAAATTTGATTTGTTTCATTCTGGTCCGTCACACTAACAATTACAAAGACAAACAACTCCGTCCAGTGTGAAAACAACACAGCATGCCACGAACAAACACAGGATGATCCTAAGAATCTCCTTCTCAAGATAGACAGGCGGCACAAGTTCAGCCCCCTTCAAGAAAGACGATAGGAGAAGTGACGCGAACCTACTTGGTTTATAAATTTTAACTTAAAAAACAAAGTTTTAAAAACTTTAACAAGGAAAGCTGCTGTGATTGTGAAAAAATTGGATTTTGTGAATATTGTGTACTCCAGGCATTGTGTGTGTGTATGTAATTTAGCACTCAGAACACCTATTGTGATAGTAGTTTCCAAATAAGTATCGATGTTCCCTCTGAAGATGATCCGTAAGGATCGAAACGTGCAAGGGTGCTAAGTTTTCAAGTAGTAAAACTTAAATAGTCACACTGGACGGAGTTGTTTTGTCTTTGTATGGTATAGACACATATGCATGTATGTGTTTGTTTCAAATGAGATGTAAGCTGGTTTACTTATTTTCATGAAACTGCTGTTAATATCATGCCACTTGAAGACATCTAAAATTAATTATTTTTTATATAAATATAAAATATATGTTTTATTTTCTTGTTATTTTATTGAGAATATCATAATTAACTGCAAAATTTGAGATTATAAATTAATTAGTAACTCAAAAATATGGAGCTGGGGCAGGTTTTCTCTGGGTACTTCAGTTTCCCCTGCCAATCTTCATTCCACCAATTGCTCCACAATCACCCTCATATATCATATGGGGCCAGTACAATAGGCCACAAGTGGCCTCAGTACAAGGGACTTAGTCCCACCCCACTAGCAATAAAAAAAAACTAAAAATATTGATTGATATGTTATATCGTTATATAAATTATTGTTATAGGCTGCAGTGGATGAACTAGAGGCCAAGATTAAAGAATGCAGTAATAAAGGTGCAGATGATGTTTTGGTGTCACAGAAAGCTACTGCTGCAGCTGGGCGAAGAAGAACAACAGCCAATACACCAGCAGGTGGAAGACTTTTTTGTATCCCTAGTTGTAGTTTAATGAAGTACATCAGAAGAAAAAGAGGGAGCGCAATTACTTAAAACCTAGCTTATAAAATACAGTTAGAAAACTCCGCCATTTAGGAGACTGCCACGGTGCCTGTTATAGGGACAGATATGGTGAATGAAACAAATTTTTATCTAATGCAGTCAATTGGACAAGATCTAGCCAAAAAGAAAGTAATGGTCAGATGTAATTACTGGCATGCCACAGTTCATCCAGTTTCTTAGCTTGAAGTGGGTACAGTCAAGCAGTCATTAATCCTGCTTCATCTAATGGAGTATTTTTTAACTGTTGATTTCACAGAAATCTGAGATTATCAGAATTGATTGAAGGAACATAGTGTTTATAATGAAATCTGTTAAAGAAATTTACCTGCTGAACTCCTGGATACCTGTCCTGAAATGCCAAGGTTCTGAGGAAAACGGAGTGGTGTTATCTGGACACATCTTTATCTCTTGCTGCCATGGAAACATGCTTGTTTTTGGAGCCATTATCCAGCAGCAGCTGTTGTATAGTTGCTTATTACATGTTCGTTGCCTAGCAACGGGCATACATGCCACAATATTCATTATGTTTTCAATAATACTAATGACTACAATATTGCTTTAGGTAACAGGATTGGCTCTACTACACACAGACAGGTTTCACGTTCCACGGTCCGGCGTGATAGGCGGCGGCATCTGTCTTCTGACTCAGAGGACTCAGACATATCAGATGGTGAAAATGCCAATAAAGGTGAATCTTCTGAATATCAAATGATATTTATATGCTTTCTGGAGTCATGTAGATCCTTCAAGCAAGAAAGGATGGAGTAATAGTCCATGGATGTTTAACAGATACTGAATTATTGAAGAACCAGTGTAGCTCATTTGGTGTAATGATGGGCTACAGGCTGGATAGACAAGAAACTGGGTTTTGTTTCCCAGCAGGGACAAGAGATTTTTCCCTTCTCTGTTAGCTAGTTGCTTGATGCTGGTTTCTTTTATACTGGTGCTCTCGTTAACCTTCAGATATGCTTTTATTTCAGAGAATCGTGGTAGCAAGGGCCAGAGCCAGCAGCAGATTCGCACCAGCTCAAGACTTAGGTCAGCAAGGAAGCCTGTGCCACCTCCACATCCTGTTTTAGATTCTGATGACTCTGATGAAGGTTTGAATACTTGCTTCTAATATGCTTTTAGCTTTTAATTTGAGAAGTCCTCTTATAATCACAAACAAAGCAAAATACTTCATTAAGGCAAATGTTTGCATTATAATTAGTAGAAAGTAGTCAGTGTTTTTATTGTTGTAGCACAGTTTGTAGCATTGTTTGTTTCATATAAGCTCACTTTATGACAGCATTCATTACTGAATGATTATGGACAGGAAATGAGCACTGCGCAGAATGGCATAATGTGTTTCATAACAGGAAAGTGATCAGATGCTAGGTAGGAGTAAATAGTAAAGTTCTGTATCTTATTTGAGAGCTGTATTAAATGGTGATTGGTAAAATAGTCTCATTCAACATCAAAACTGAAAATGCCTTGTTTTTCAGTGCATTCAAGTTCTGAAAGGATGAATTGTTTTGTATTAGAGAAATATGCATAGTATGTGCTGTTGAATTTTCTTACAAATTTTTAAATTCCCTTACATATTTCAAATTGTATTTATTTGGTATGCATATGATTGGTGATATTTTTAATTTTACCTTTGATCTTTCAGAGATTTTTGTGAAGCCCAAGACACCAATTAAGAAAGTTACTGGTGTGGACCATTTAGCAGGTTAGAGTACTGTTAGTGATGTAATGGTTTGCTAGTAAATTATTTTAAGTATTCATTCATAAATAATAGGTTAGAAGACACTTAGTAAAATGATACTAGTACACTGTAACAGGATGAATAAACGGGGTCAAATTTGCTTCCTGCATTTTCCATGCTGAAAGATCCAACCTTAACATTGATTATTGAATCTGCAGATTCAAGACTGCTAACACCAAACGTGATCATGGGTGATATCACTCCAGATTTTATCCTCACAATCTATTTATCTATAATCCAACCGAAACAAACTGCTGTGCTGAAAAATGTGTAGACACAAAGATGAACAAAAATAACATGTTTTCAACTGAAAAGAGACAGTGATGAATTCTGTGTTTCTTTTACTGTTCAAAGCCATAAGGGAATATATGGAAGTACACCAGATGCTTTCAATAAAATAATAAGTAGTAAAAATTTCCATTTTTTTGTACCAGTCATTTACAAGTATTTATAAATTATCATGTGTCAGGATCTGAAAGTGAAACTGAAACACTGAACTCTCAACTTAATATAATGATGTGGCAGTTGAGTCACTTTTGATGTTATGTATGTTTTGAAGATACAGCTGTGTCTAATGAAAAATGCATTCTAGCAAAAACAGAAAGCATCACAAATTTCAGAGTGGTTCCTTACATCAATGACATCACCTTATGGCCTATTTTTCTTCCATCAGATATGAAAGAAAATGAGATCATAAATAAACCTTAAACGTTAAATAAAGAAATTTGGAAAAGGAAAATGAATTGGGAGGAAGAAATATTTTTTATTGGGTGAAGAAAAATGGAACAAAGCAAAAAAGAGAATGATTAGTGTTTCCAGAAATATCCAGATGCCTGTATTGTTACATATATTTCCCTAAGATACATTTTAATATTATCCTGCTTTGCTACTTCTCCTGTAACTGTTATCAGTGAACCTGCCCTGTAGAGACTCCTTGCATTCCATGTGTCATATCTCGTGTCCATTTGCCTTAGCTTGAATATATGAGGGGTGGGCCTTCCCGGCCTTTGCACTGCGTCCTACAGTGGTCTTTTGTGCTTTTTTCCTTAGCTTAGGTCATTCTGAGAACCTGTCCAAGTCTGAGGCCCTGTGTAATGTTTCGTATGAACTGTTTTCTTTTATACACTGACAAGTTGTTAGCCACAATCTGGAGGACCACCCCTTGTCTGCTGTTGTTGACTGCTTATTCAATATATCCACAGCTACCATCTATAAGTGTAGGTCATCTCCATCTACACCCTGAGGACATGCCACGCTCTGGTGGTGAGGGACCAACTTAAATACAGCAGAGTTTTATTGAGGTGCCACAGGGTTGTTCAACTTTGTTCAGAAAGTGTGCTTATTTATATCAGCATCTACACATATGTGGAATGTGCCAAATTAAAATTAAAAATCAATGATAAAAGGTGCTCTGCAAGAGCCAGTTCCTTTTTGGCTTTGAAAGAGGGTTTTGATGAAATTAAGAATGTCCATTTTGATATCTGTGCAACAGAATGAGAAATATGAAAATGATTTCCTACAGGTTTTTTGGGGAATCGTTAGTTGCAATGTTAGTGAATCGCTGACATTGGAAATGATAGGATTATTGACCTCTCTTACTGCTTTCATCACTAAAGTAACAATGGGTCATTCTTCTGTTGAAAAGGAAGCATTTTCTATATGGAATATATAATCAGTCCTGATGAAGACTGATGTGAGAGACATGTATGACGAAGAAAAAAATTTGTGATGAAGCTGAGGACAGGGAAACTGTTTAAGAAGGAAAACAAAAATTAATTTATGGAAATTAAATTGCTCTACATTTATTGTATAATTTGAAAAAATAATAGAAAAGAGCCTGAATCAATTTTGGACTTTACCAGGTGCTTTTGTAAAGAAGATTGATGAGACAAAGAAAGATGACTGAATGACTAACTAACTAACTAACTCACTCACTCCATTGAGCGGAGCCCTTCTTGAGAAGCTGCCAGTTGTGTAGCCACTCAAGAACTTGCCAGCAATTTATGGAACCTGGAGGTTCATTACCATGGAAGAAAGATGACAGCATTAAAAGTTACTGTACATAGAGGATATTCAGTCTATTGTTTTTGAAGATGAATTGCAACAATTTCTGCACTTTTTCAGTAGTGAAGACTTTATATATCAGAGTCTCCCATTGCACTTTACAATTATTGATGGTTTAAGTGCTGGCTTCCCTAATGTAGGGACAATTCTTAAAAAAAAATTGTAACATTACCCAAATCAAATGCAACCACTGAAAGTCATTCAGCACACTTAAAAGAGAAAAGTTATTTTCATGGATTTTGTTTGTGTAATTGAAGTTCATTCTTGAATCAGAGAAGTGTTTTCCTTTTACTTCTGTATGTACATATACAGTATACTGCTAATTAAAAACAGAAAACACTTAAAATAAATAAGGGCTGTGCCATTGCTCAAGTGGTTAGTCGCTGGCTTCCCACCGCGGCAGCCCGGGTCTGGTCAAGTGGGATTTGTGGTGGACAAAGTGGCGCTGGGACAGGTTTTATCCAAGTACTTCGGTTTCCCATGCCAATCTTCATTCCACCAGTTGCTCCACAATCACCTTCACCTATCATCTGGGGTTGGTACAATAGGCCAGAAGTGGCAACAGTACAGGGAAATTAGTCCCACCCCACTAGCAATAAAAAATAAAATAAATAATAAAAGAGATGACCTCTGTTATTTGTTAGCCCATTCTTATACATATGGCGCTATCATATTTTTGGATGTTGTCATCTTTATTTAGTTGGATGAATATGGCTCAAAAATAAGGCCAGACTATAATGAAGTTCTCTTCATAAGCCATTGCTGTTATGCGTGACACTTTGCTGAGGACACAAATTGTACAGTTTGCCAGATTTCTATCTCCCCCTAAGGGAAAAAAATCAGGTTAATGTAACTGGGGCATTGTAGCTAAGCAGGTACATAAGGTTGTAAAAAGATAAAATTGAATTGTGTGAATATATGCTGTGCGGAGTTAAGGAGTGACGATAATGAAATGGATGGATAAAATGCCAGTGTCCATTTCCACATTTCATAATGATACCATGGTGATGTTTCAAGAGAGAAGAATAAGTAAACCAGAAGGTATAAAGAAATACGGTTTGTACATGGGAAGAGTTTATCTGAAGGATCAGAAATTGCAGCCATGCACACTGCAGAGAATAAGAAATGTGATTCTACACAAAAGTGTTCAAGGGGCTGCTGAATATTTCTATATACAATGCTTCTGTGCTACACAGAGGGAGAGCCAAAGTACAAAGAAACTATATGACATACTTTCATGTTCAACTGATAAAAGAATTATTTGAAGCACATAGGCAGGCACCTTGGCTGACCATTGAAAACACTACTACCTAACAGACTGACTGAAAGTCATTTCGTGAAAGTACTCCATCATACAGGAAGCCCATGAGATGTGCAGTACTATATCAAAGCCAGTTTCTGTCACTGGAAAGGTAAGATTTTATAAAAATTATTGAATTGCATTAAACCATGGAGGCTTTCTGAATGTAAATATTTTCATAAGTATTCTGGTGAGAGTAATTTCCAACATACATGAAAATAAAAGTAAAAAAAACCTAGTAACCGGCCATTTTAATAAGTGTGCTGATAGGTTGTGTTGTGCTGTAAACAGACTACAAATTGTTCATAAAAATTATTCAGAGTAACGGGCAAAGTGATATTTCAAAGTGAAGGGACAATTTTAATACATGAAAAAATGCCGTTATTGTGCTAAGCCATTGAGCATTTCTGTTAGGAACTGTATCACAGTCCCTTTTCACTACCAAAATATCAGATGTATGCATAAGGTAATACAGTTGAACAAATACACATATATATCTCTTTTATTGTGAAAACTTCAACTCTTTACTAAGATAGAGAACATGTAATATGTATTTGAAATATTTGTAAAGGAGTGTTTCTTTGGTAAGAGGGTCATGAGTTAGGTGCAGAATTTTAACCATGCAGTTGTAAATAAGACATGCGTACAAAATTTTGATTTGAAACTTTCAGGGAGGTAATCATTTTGGAGACCTAGGCACAAAGGTGTGAGGTTAATAGTAAAGTGGATTGTAGGAGGTAGTGATTGAACTGAATTGAATTGGTTCAGAATTGATAGAAGGAGTTAATATCAAGGAAATCATACATATTCCATAAGAATCTGGAAATATTTTTGTCCAGTTCAGTGACTGAAGTGTTGAAGGCAGAGTTGTTCTAAGATTCAGATAGCACAGTTAGATGGCTGCTGGTTTTAAATGATATCATGGATTGCTACTTGGTGAGATTTAAACCAATCAGCATTAGTCAGTCGTTAGTATCCCTGCAATCCACTTTCTGTTGTAGCATTCACAACAGTATAATTGTTCTGTGAACATGAAGTAGTTGACACTGTTTCATTTTAGTGATTCTTGCTGTTATAAGAATTGATGGTAGATTATGGACAGATAGACTAGAGGATTTAATTATTTCAAATGAGGCAGAGAATAAGTGTCCAATGCACTGTGTTGTCATGGTGCAAATTTATAGCGTTACATATTATGATGGTCAAGCAGATAATCTAACATTACAACCTTTTAATTTTGTCACTGACAGTGAGACATATTGTTGGATGCTGTCGGGTTTGAATTCATGTTTCTCCCCTCCACAGACTGTCCCTTATTTAGTTAGTTCAGAGAACTATTTTTATCTGCCTACAGATGATGCAGAAAGCTCAGATGAAGATGTTGCAGAGAATGCTTTGGCTTCACCTGACCGTAAAAGAATTTGTAGTAGCAGAGACAACAAGAAAATATCAGTCACCTGCACACCTAAACCAAGGAGTACACCACGACCAAAGCACACCATAACAACAAGCGCAAGCAGATCTAAAACAAAGAATAAATAATATTTGTAATTTATATTAATTGTTCTTAATTTTTACAGTCATATCCATATTATTCTTTAATTAAGATAAAATTAGATTCTCAAAGGTTCTGACGATAGTATATAACACTTGGAATTACTGGGTTTTTGGACATTGTCTGTTGTTTGGTATTCAGAAAACAATAGAGAACACAACACTTCAGAAACTGGGTGTGTCTCCGCCCCCCTCCTCACCCGAGGACAAAAATAGATCCAGTTTCTGAAACGTGTTCTCCAGTGTTCTTAGAATACTAGATGGCACACAAAGTCCAAAAAACCCAGGAATCCTAAGTTAGAATTAACCCTTACCATGGAAAGAATAACAAGTTATACTAAAGTATAAGGTATTTACTGATATTATTTATCACTTTGTTTAATATGCATGATGATGTGTCGTTCAGTATTTTTTAATTTTTGTGAATTCAAAATTTTAAAAACTTTTTAATTTCTCCTAGAACAGGTTAAAGAAATTCTTCCTCCACATCAGTTTCTTTGTCTTTTATCTTCATAATTCATCAGATTAGTTTTGTTAATATCAATATCAAAACAGTTCCTTCAAAATGAATAATGTAAAATACAAAATGAACTGGTGATTAATATGTATTATGAATATATTATGCATAGGAACCTACCAAATGCTAGTGATATGCTATACACACATGATGCTTATAAAATAGCATACTTTAAAAAGCTACTGCTGTTAAGCTTCTTCTTGGCTGTGGAATTGCTTAAAATAAAATTCTTTACAATGTGAGCCAGAAGTCCATTTCACTAGGAAGATATATATATTTTTAAAAGAATTTGTGTGGGTGAATACGGTATATTCCTTGTGCTTGCTTAACAAGAAATGGGAATGCTTTACACATTCATATACATACCTTGTTTGTGGAAGTTACATGACAGTTCACTTAGATGTTCATAATATATCATTTCCCTTTATTCCTTATGGATAAGAATTTACATTAGTTTTTAGCAGTTCAACATGAAATCTTTGAATCAGTTGTGTTAAATATTGATTTCATGTGCCATTGTTACTGTAGGAGTAATTAGCTCTAATTAGGAGAGATGAAATGACTTTCCATCTGGAAATTCTACATCTGAAGAAAGCAGTCTTCTGGGATTTGGCACCATGGCAAGTGAAGAGACCATGAGAACCGGTAAAAGACCGGTTCTCACGGTCTCTTCGCTTGCAGATTTCTTATATTTTTTCTTCTACCCTGAAGATGGAGGCGATACGTTTCTCCGAAACGTCGGTTAACACCACATATGCATGGTGCCAAATCCCAGAAGACTGCTTTCTTCATAGTCACCTCCGTGAAAGCCTCAAATCTTACAATTCTACATCTATTTTGACGCTACAACTCCCGTAGAGTTTTGATCTTCTAAACCACACCTTTCCACTTGGTCCTGTCCTGGACTGTTATCTTCTAATTTGGTACCTTCATCTTTTTAATGTCAGCTTTAACATCATCATCCTGTCATATTTTTGGTCTGCCCAGTGGTCATGTACTTCATGGTTTCCATGAGTACAGGTTTTTAACTGATCTATTGGTTGGCATTTACTCTCTGTGGCCAAGCCATGAGAGTCTTTGTTCATGTATAAAATTTATTATATTTTTATAGTTGATTAACTGATTTAGTTCTTGATTTGTTTTAATTTGCCAGCTGTCATTTTCTTTACTTGGGCCAAAAGTTTTTCTTAGAATTTTCCTCTCAAAAACCAATAATTTTTTATTTTACTTTCTTTCAGTACCCAGGTTTCACAGGCATAAGTTACTACTGGTCTGCTCCTCTAGAAATTAATTTGCTTTGGAGCATACTTTTGTTCGAGTGATATGCCCTATTTTGTAGTGCTCTTCTCTCCTTAATCTCTTCGTGTATTGAATTATCCTCATTATCTATTGCCCCAAGATATTAAAATATCTTTATTGTTGCAGTTCCTTTTTCTCAGAATATCTGTTGTGCCGTATGTAACAATGTAAGCATGTTGTATCTCATTTGCACATTCTACACACATTTTCTTCTCCCTCATTGTGCCAGGCTTTTTTTCCTTAATCTTTGAAAATGTACATTTTGTACAATATCCTTTCAGATTGGTTTTAGTAGATAATGTGGGACCCTCAACGTCTCACAACCCTATGGGCCTTCATGGCCTGTTACAGGGATAGCTTTACTTTTTTATATATGGCCTACATGTTTTTTTGTATGTGCAAAAATGAATGTTTGCTACTTTATACATATAAAGTTTTTTTAATGAAATGTACTTACTTGTGCATTTTATGAGGGTCATACTGGAAGTCATGAGCAACAATTTTTTGTAAAGTAACATGCTTTATTATTGACAAACCAAATACACAACCTCAATCTACAGACCTTTCTTTATTTTTCCACATAACCGCCACTTCTTTGTACACATTTCTCCCAGCGTTCTGGGATTTTGAAAATTTTGTTAGGAGTGATACTGGTCATGTGATGCAAGCTATTGATGTCACGAGACACTCAAGGTTAACACAACAGCTGGTTCCACCTACCACCATACTCTCTTTCGTCTGCTGTTCCCAGGTTGCATGCAAAAAAAGTTGCTCATGACTTTCGGTACAACCTACGTATTTGGTCTTTGTAAATTTAATCAGCTGTCCCCATTAAAATACTTATTTGATTAATGCTATTTTCTTTGAGACAGAAGTATACATTTTATTTAACCTGTAGATTTAGTCAGCTGATGACATTAAAAGACATTCTCGAATAATTTTGCTTTCTTTGTAACAGAAGTAATACTATGTATGTATACCATCTCAACTTTTAATTGTGTGTACCAGTTTTATTACAAGAGAGTGGATAGTTTTTGTCATGGGTTCCAGCTCTTCTGGGCACGCTATCTAGACTCATGTTTTACACAAGGTCTTCCCCTGTCCCTCCAGGGACCTCAGATTAGGTACAGTTGCTTCTTCCTCATCCTTTACAATCAGTCATTCACTAAACATTGTATTATTCAGTGTTTTATAAACTGAGCTGTTGATAAAATTGTTAGATAAACCATGAATAAAAATTGAAACAAGAATGAAAAACTATTCCAATTTTAAGTACACATATTTTCCAAAAGTGTTCTTTGTGCTTTTACTTCCCTCATTGTTCCGGATGTTCATTTGTTGATACAGATCTTATTGTTGACATAGTTGATAGTGTACATGCCTCTCCATAGCTGTTTCTCTATGACCAAAATTTAGGGAACGTACACAAATCCCCCACCTACAGTCAAATGTAATAGCTGGAAAGTCTATTTGCCATAATGATTATAGTGTTTTATTGTATAAATTTGATTTTAAAATGACTGTCTTGAATATGTTAAAGTGGGGTGCTATTTGTGGTAGTGTACTGCTTTAGCTCTTATGGCGTTTTGTGAGTATGGCATGTTACATGTTTCAGATTTAAACTCCCTAGGCCCAATAAAAATGGAGTGAACAGCATGAAGCAGGTAGTTTTACTCTTCAGCCCTGAAGATGGAGGTGTCATGTTCCCCCAAACATTGGCTGACTTTAGCAGACTACATGGTGTCCAGCAAACCCCAGTGTTACTTACATCCGCAGCAAACATTAGATTGCTTTATGTATGGACGTTTAAAGTCGTTGTGTTGTCTGTTTTATAAATATTAGTTTCCTCGAAAACTTTTGTTTCCACATTGGCGGAGATGTTGATAGATATTCAAATATTCAGGGGCCACGTGGCATACAGTACTCCAGTTTGGACCCTGGATTACTGTACTTTCTCATGTAAGAGAAAAGTTAACTTGTAATTTTAGTAGAATGGTCATGAGCCTTTAACGGAGAAGTATAATTTAGGTGTCCCGACTAAACAAATTATATTTATCAGTATGGATGTCTCTAGGTGTGTGATTATTTTCTACACTAATGCATCCAGTCTGACTCTTCAGATCCATCCAGCCTCCAGTCCTATGGATAAGCAGGCGGAGCTTGAAGTAGACTATTCATCTTCATCTAGTACTGAGACTTAGTGCTTAAAGCTTTAACTTCTGCACCCACTTTTCATGGTGCCTAGGTGCATGGACAATTTTAGATTTTGATTAAATTTCGTTCATAATACATATTTTATATATATATACATGGTGTTTCACGACTTTAGGGCATAACTGCAGGAGGTGATTTCCTAGGTCTTTGTGATCAAAAAAGTTCATATAAACATGTGTCCGATTTTGGACGGTTACGGAGTTATGACCGTTTTAAACTCAGAATAGAAGGTAATGATTACTGACAATAAACGGAACAAAATAATAAACCAGCATAATACATGATACATTTAAAGTATGAATGTAAAGTAAACTTCATTAAATTTAATTTGAATTGATTGGTGCTTAAAGCTGATTTTTGAAAATGTCACCGCCGGCCGCAACACAGGCTGCCGCTCGGTTGTGAACCATGCTGGACATACCAACTCCCCCCCGCCTAAGGTAGCTCTCAAGTGTCGAGATAACAAGAATGCTCTGTCTGTAGCTGGCTAAAAATAGCGACCTGCCAGCTGACAGACGCGGTTCATACAAGGGCGTGTACGGGAATGAAAAAACGGTCATAACTCCATAACTGTCCAAAATTGGACACATGAGAGTATGGGGAGGGTAATGGTAAAGTTAACCCTGGACTTGGAGAGTACAATAAGAAAATAATAAGAAAAAGCCACAAATTCCAAAAACAATTTTTGGCATTCCAGAACTTACCATTTATTGAACGTATTGCAAGAAGTGTATATTTTGTGTCATTTATTATGTAAATGATCATGCTCACAGTCATGTAGTTTTGAATTCATCCTTATTCAAATAAAAACTTAAGAATCTAAGCCTAGTTGTTAATATTTTAATTTTGTATCAACCCTTAATATATAGGTATATACCAAGGTTGTGTCAGTTATGGGCAGTTGTCTGAGTATATTTGATATTGTTATTCAGGAGTTACTTCTAATCCATTTCATGTGACTGGCTGCCTCTATACTGATCAGACTTTAGTTTTTCTAACATTACTGCAAATGTTTGGAATCAAACTTGGGATCTTCTGGTATCAGGCTAGAAAACTAACCACTAATTAAAAAAAAAAGTAATTTAAAATTTGTCAGTACGATAACAATTCACAAGAAGACTGAAGTAGAGTCAACTCCCGAAACTTGCTGTATATGAAATCTAACTTAACGAACAATATACCAACATGATGTCACTGTAATGAATCAACCACTGCCGTATAGACAATTATCTTCTGTCTTGTTACGAACTATTGTTTATGTATCGTTCAGTTCATGCTGTGTAGCTGATGTAACTCCTTTGAAGTGAAAGGTTGGTAACAAGTCTGTTTAAAATTGATCTGACTCTTCCATGAGCTATGTTTGACTTTGAGTCTTAATATTTTTATGATATCGTCACATGTTGGGTATGTCATGCAACAAATAAATTCAAGTGGGTCTCGGATTCAGCGAATCTTTATTGGACACTCACAATTATACACCATACAAGTATTACCGCTTGTGGTATCATGTGGTTTCTGCGACGTCTCGACTAGGTTCCAACTGTCTTGTATCAAGGCTAGATCTCGACTGTTGTCCTGTAGCTCTGTCGCTCTCAACTTATGTAGGTGTTCTGCGGACCGGATACGAGACACCATTCGCCAAGGTTCGATCTCACTTGTTCGGCAATCCGTTGCTTCTCGAACGATCTCTATAGATTACGGCGGTAATGTGTTTTGTCTCATCCGTTGGTACTCAATGGCCTTCTGTTGTTCATCTCCGGGGAAACGCGTTCGTTGTTTCAGCATTGTCTATGCAGCAGTCCACTGTGATTGTGTTGCCATGGAAGTATCTACTCCAAACACGTTACAATATCATGGTTATATAACAAGATTTAGTGTTTATGTGAATGAATAATATGATAAAAATTCAATGCAAAGGTATAATTTTTACTGTTATGCACTGAATAGGCCTGTATTCTGAAAAAAGGGTGAGTTCTGTACAGATTTACTTTGTTCGAGATGTCGAAAATTTTAATATCAGTTTTCTTCAGAAAATTGACTATTGAGACATATTACTATTATAGTAACTTGTAATTCTAAATGGTAAATATGCTAGATTCTAAAGGGCTCTTATGATGGTGAATAACACTAAGAATTCCTAGGTTCTGGGGCATTGTCCATCATCCGATATTCTAGAGACTAGTGTTTGATAGTGATTTCTAAGGGCCCCAACTGAGTACGTGTCTTTCCCCCCCTCACTTTAGGATGGGAAGAGATCAAGTTTCCAAAACGTGTTTTATTTTTTCTAGAATACCGGATGATGGAAAAGGTCCAAAAAACCCAGTAATTCTGAATAAATATACTCCTAAATTCTGGTTTAGTTACATGCCTGATGATAAATTCTGATAACTGAGTTCAAGTATAAAATTATTCATTTCTACATGATTTCATGAATATTTATACCTAGCTTCCATCTCGGTACCGGATACACCTTGTAGAGTTTCATTATGTTTGCCATCTATCGTATGACAAATGAGTCTCCACTGTAACACGGGAATATAATTCTGCTGTTAGATATTTGCACCATGTGGATGTGGGCGATGTTTCGGAGGTAGTTACTGCTTCTATCTTCAAGGTCGAAGTGATCCACACAGTGCAAAAACTAAAAATCAGTCTCAACATTAACAGTGAATCGTAATGAAAGACAAAATCAGCAAATCCACTGTAACATATTCCAGTTTTGTCAGCATACACAAACACCTCTTTATCCGAAAAGAACAATTTCCTTAAAAATCGATCATAAAACGAAAATTAATTTATTTTCAATTTCGGTCATGTGTATACAAATTTAGGCTTTCTTATATGTAATTTAGCAGCATTTTATGTCGCAATTACACAACATCCTGTGCAATTTCGTAAGGACTCGAAATATGTACGGATGCAAAATGCGCCTACAATCAATAAATATAAAGAATACATAGTTTTACTTTTGTCTGAAGCATATTAAAATATAATCATATGTTCAAGTTATGATAAACATAAAAGTCTGAAACACAAATTAAGAAAACTTATTCGTATTCATTTTGCTCGTATAAACACGTACAATAAAATTTTAACAGCTGGTAACGACAATTGATATATATATATATTCCAGATATTACAAGTGAAAAATTGTGCCAAATAATCTTTATCGAGGAAGGATAATAATTCAGCGCGGAATAATTTTAACTTTAAAAAGCCTATAATTTATGGCGTCTGCCAGAACCCACTAAGTAGCACAGTGCATGATGTGAATTTTCTTTTCCGTCTTCTGGATTTGATGACGGTGATTTATGAGTACTTATCACATTTGAACGTTTCATGGAAACGTTCCGGATGTATTCATGAGAGTTGCGACTGATTACAGTTTGAGTAGCCTGGGCTTTTAAACACATTTAAGTAGTAGTGCCGTTTCCTTCACGTTTAAACTTAGCGTATCGCTCCTCCACTGTGAAAACATCTGTTATATCACAGTTCTCAGGAGTTCTCCCATTTTCAACACGATTGAACTCATTCTTATTACATCCACTAAGCTCGCTTTTCATTGTGTATCTTGTTTTAGCATTCTCTTCACAATTACACGTTTCTTTTGGACTGAATTCCAGTTCAATTTCTCGTAACGTTTTTCCTCTTGTTTCTGGAAGGAACATGTAACAATACACAGCTCCCAAGAGTGCAGCTGCTCCGAAGAGCCACAAAGTACCGTTAGTGCCCAGAGCATGCATAAGATCTGGGTATGTCTTCACAGAAACGAAAATAAACAGATGGGCTAATGATGCAACTATTCCACCCATTACACCCCTAATTGCAAGAGGAAACAACTCTCCATTCATCATCCATGGCAGCTGAAGGAACCCCATCATGCTAACACATACATGTCCTAGGACGCAGATCAGAGGAACCCAAGCTAATGGCCGATCAGTTGGTGGCAGATGGGAGTAGAAGTATTCATAACCGCCACCGACCACCATAGATATGGCCATACCTAACCCGGAAACAACAGCTAGTGTCTTTCGGCCGAAACTGTTCATAAGAATGGCTCCAACTACACTCATCACTAGGCGGACACCTCCTACAACTATCGACGCCACATACTCGTTGAGACCTGTTCCTACTTCTTGGAAAAGATTAACAGCATAGTACAGGATAATATAGATGCCAGAACCTTCTTGAAACGCGAAGAAAAGTAACAGTATTATAAATGGTTTCCAAGCTGTAGGCAGAAGAAATGGTTTCAGGACATTCTTGACTGCCAGCATGTTACGTCTCTTACTTGATATCGGACTTATGAGGCAATTATTATTCTTCTCTTTAGCTACAGTTTCCATCAGTTCAGATAATTCAGCTTCAGCAGTCGCTGGATTTCTTCTGAGCCACACAAGTGCTGAAAGGGCTTCCGCGGGCCTTCCGTGAGAAGACAGCCAAGCTGGACTTTCCGGGACTGCGCACATGGCGATGAAACTAAGGAGCGCGCACAGGGTGCATAGAGCTGCCACTCGTTGCCATGGTGCTATGAAACCGAGGATGTAGACGGCCAGGACACCGAGAGAAACGTGGACAGGTCCGCTAGCCGACAACATTCCTCGCTGCTCCGCCTGGGAAATTTCGGCCACGTACACGTAGCTGGCCGTAGCCATTCCTGCGGTAAACAAGATGGAAAGGAGTGTAATCAGTAATGTAATATACGGAATTCCAAACGGCGTTCTTTGTAGTTTAATAAGCTCGCATCCATTCTGTTTATGAAATGTAATAGACAGTTTGTGATAAACATGAAGTAGTCCAGTTATGGATTCACGCAAAGTGAAGTTTATTATGAGTCTGCATGCTTGAAAATCTGAAATGCCCAACAGTTTTCAGTAAAAGTCCTCCATATGGCCTTACTTACTTTCTTACTCATGGAGCTGAGCCCTTCTGGAGGAGTTGCCAATTCTGCAGCTACTCAAGAATTTCCCAGCATTTTATGGGACCCGACGGTTCATTACCTTGTTCACAAGATTCCTCCTCCCTGTGGTCTCTTTCCTTCTGGCTTTCCTACCAATATCCTATACACATTCCTCGTCTCCCCCATTCGTGCTACATGACCTGCCCACCTCATCCTCCTTGACTTGATCATTTTAATTATGCTTGAAGAAGAGTACAAGTTATGAAGCTCCTCATTATGCAGTTTTCTCCAACCTACTGTCACTTCATCTCTCTTCGGTCCAAATATTCTCCTAACACCCTGTTCTCAAACACCCTCAGTCTATGTTCCTCCCTTAATGTCAGAGACCAAGTTTCATAGCCATCCAGAACCACAGGCAAAATTATAGTTTTGTATATTCTAATTTTTATGTTTTTGGGCAACAGACGAGAAGACAAAAGGTTCTGGACTGAATACTAGCAAGCATTACCCGAGTTCAGTCGCCTCTTAATTTCCTCCTGGATCAGGTTTCGATCTGTTATCGTTGTTCCCAAATATCTGACTGTGCCACTTTTTCAAAACATCTGTTTCCTATCTTTATGTCATAATTTTGCCCTGCATTTTGGTGACGAGACAGTAACATATACTTAGTTTTCTCTGTGTTTACTTCTAGACCAACCTCTTTACTTGCGTCAATTAAAGTTTGTGTGTTTTTCTTTATGGTTCTATATGTAATAATACAAAAGCCGTCGTGAATGCAACAATTTATTTGGTTGTAGATCTTCGTCTTTTCTTCCCTTACACTACATGTTTCGGCTGTAATTGGCCATAATCAGGTGTATTTTTCAATACGTGGCTGTCACACTGCACACAGTCCAAAATCTAAAACATCAGCCTGTCAGTTTTTGTTTTTAAATCTCCCCAACACACGCTCATCAATTTGATTTTAGAATTACAGTTTAAAATTTAAAATTTCTAAAATTTAAAGTTTTAAATACCAGGGACACCTGCTCTTGTCTACATGTGTTGCAGTGGCTATTTCTTGTTTTCAGCACCGTTCATGTATTGTTCTGTGAAGGCTCCCTTGTCCCTGTGTGTATCGCTGCTCATCTTTAATACTTTTGTCCTTTATGGTATCTACATTATCACCCAGTAGATTCACATCATCGGCGTAGACCAACAGCTGATGTGTCCCATTTAATTTCAGTCCCACCTGGTTTCCCTGGACCTTCCTAATTGCATATTCTAAAGCAAAGTTGAAAAGGATTGGCGATAAAGCATCTCCTTGTTTTACACCATTCTGGATAAGAAATTTATCAAACAAATATTTACCTACACGGACTTTAATATACGTTTCGTTTAAACACATTTTAATCAACCTAACTATTCATGGGTATCCCAAAATCTATTAGAATATTGTACAATACTTCCCTCCTAACTGAATCATGTATTTCATTACGTCACGGAGCGGAAAATATTGTGCCTAAGAGACAGAGCATGGATCTTATTCATCCTTTAATAAAGAGGATTCTGTGACGCATTTATCGCGTTTTTACCCATTTATTGTTAAACTCTCTCTTCCGTGACACCACACAAATAGGCCTGAGCCCGTCCCTACACGTCACGCGGGAAGAGCACTGCAGAGACCTCTGCATTTTTGTTTCTGACTTTATTGTTCACGGTTCAGCGCGTCTGACATATAAACTTACATAAACCCACCTACATCTAAGTTACACTCCTGTATTGAAGAGAGTGGCAGGAGTTTCCCCCGAAACTTTGATAACCACATATATTACTCTACGGTCCTGAAACCCAGGGGAGAGCAATCTTAATTTTCACCGCCTTGCAAATCTCGAAACTCGTATCATTTTAATTTACCGACTGCCAGTCCGGAGATGAATCTGCCAGCGTAGAGTTTGAATATGTTGTCTGACAAAGAGATGAGGACCCATCCGATGATATAGGGCAGAGATGTTAACTTCACTGTCGTTTTCCTGCCGAATATTTCCATCAGGAATCCGGCCAAGAGAGCGCCAATGGGGTTCGAAATTACTCCAAGGCTGGCTGAAATTAGATCAACAATAATTAAGTTAGAAAATATCTGAAAGCAGCTGTGTGTATAGTTGCTGACATTACCAGAAACTATAGCACAAACTGATTTACAAGCGGAAAGTCATTGTTTCTCTACGTGCAACCAGTTGACCTTAGCTGAGTTGCAGCTTAAAGTATGCCGTCTACAAGGTCTAAAACACGTGGAGTTTTACTCTTACGTTCACTATACGCCTTCTTATCGGGATGCTCAGTTACATGCGCAGAAGTATGACAAAAACAATTTGTTTTAGAAGGAGACACTATAGCACAAACTGATTTACAAGCGGAAAGTCATTGTTTCTCTACGTGCAACCAGTTGACCTTAGCTGAGTTGCAGCTTAAAGTATGCCGTCTACAAGGTCTAAAACACGTGGAGTTTTACTCTTACGTTCACTATACGCCTTCTTATCGGGATGCTCAGTTACATGCGCAGAAGTATGACAAAAACAATTTGTTTTAGAAGTAGACACTTTATAAGCAGTAAGATTAATACCAGCGGATAAATAAACATTTATAATTGGCCAAGTTGTGACGCTTATTACTTTCAGTACGGAGCACCGCGGAACCAGCACGCTTGCACATGCGTGCTGATCACAGTAGCCGCGTGGTCTAACGCATGAACCGCACACACACTGGGTTCTTGGGTTCGAATCTCAGTACAGACATGAATGTCTGCTTGTGTTCGTGTTGTTCTGTGTGTAGGTATACTTCCCAGAGCCACATGGTTGCATTGCAAGAAGATGAGCTACCGCTAAAGTAATTTGTGGCTATATGAGACGCAGTGTAACCTTCATTTTGTTCCTTCAGCCAACTAATTAAGTGACCAAATGCAGCGGAATCGTTCTACTATCTTCAGTGAAGTTATTGTTTTTGGATAATTCTATTGCAACCCCGCCCCAACAATCGAAGTCCGTGTCCCGTGGTCGGACTACAGACACGTCTAAACAAGGTGTGGCACTTCCTCGCTTTGATCTTGACCTTCATCACAAGAACAATTGAGATCCGCTGCGCGCATTTGGCGTTAGTACGTCGTGTTCACGACAATCGCGGCGCTCTTTATGTGCAAATATAATAATGAAGTGTAGGTCTGTAACTCCTTCTTGTGGTGCAAGGGTGTTCGTTTTAAGTTAAGGAGTTGTAAATTATTAATTTTGCGTAAATTTTCGGGCACGTGTACAGATCTTATTGTCTCATATGGCCTACTAAGGGCGATTTATACCTTTGATAATGTTTGTTACACAGTTTAATGAAAATGTTGAATTTCCATACTGAATGTAATGGTTTCAGGGGCATTACTTGATTTTCTTGCACTAGGTGCAGATATTTCCTCCGAATTGCATTTAATGTTTGGGCCTATATCACCTATATTATATATTTTTTAATTATGTAGTGGCTTTTTCCCCCATACCGGATGTAAAGGTTGCGGTATCATGAATAGGTCTTGAATTAGGTAAATGCGTTTCCTCTACACTAGGTCGATGGTTATATCTTCATTAATATAAAAGAAATAAAGGTATCCCTGTAACAGGCCGTGGGGTCCCATAGGGTTCTGAGATGTTGAGGTTCCCACATTTTCTAGACAATCGGCTCATAGATGGTGGTAAGGTTGTCAGCCCTACGCGCCGGCCGCCCTTTACCCCCAAGAACATTCCAAGAATATTCCTGGTACTCATTTCTGTTAAGAGGCTGAGTCGACCCTAGGGCCACAGTGCGGCTGGAAGGATTAGGTAGACTGGAAAAATCCAACGACCTCATCGGGATTCGATCCCGCGACCTTCCGGCTTGTAGCATAGTGCCTTAACCAACTACACTACCGCGTGCCCCCTCTCCATGAATATGACTGACGATATTATGTAACGATGTGTCTTAATGTCGGATTTAATGGTTATACAGTAACAACTGTCTTCTTGAATAAGATGGTAACATTTGCTCCACTACAGATCTGATGGCTATACCACCATAATTTGGACACCCTGATTTAGATAGCTGGATTTCCTCCACAAAAGTTGCAGACCCAAGCTTACTACCGCAATGACTCGGTTGTCAGATTTCCGTTTGCAAAATATGGCATTGACCATAGGACCTTAAGTTTTGCATTAAGAAACAGCATCATTTTCCTTGCGATGGAGGCAGTAAGTGTCTCCGAAACAGCCAACTTCTGCTCTGAATTGACGAAGATTTTCGCCCTGGAACCTTCAAGTCTTATGACAAACAGATACATTTGTGGTAAAACCTTAATATAAGTGAGCATATGGGGGCCAGTGCATAGATGGTATAATAATATTGAAAGGTATTTTAGTGAAATAAACTGGAGTGGAGGTGTGGTCGAATACCCCCACCGTTACCCTGCGAGTCGCAGGAGGCGACGCAAAGGGAAGTCTCAAATCTGAGACGGTAGAGTCTCGAGTCTCAAGGGACTCGGACCCGAGAAAGACTGCGCTGGCAAGGACCAGCTGCATATACACGTACAAAAGACAGACCCGTCATCTTGTCAGGGAGGGCGCCCAACAAAAACAAGACTTAATTGCCAAATAGCAATACATATCTGGGCGGTCAGGAGCCCCAGACGGGGCTCGATACCAAGACCTACTGACTGTCAGTCGCAATGTGACTTTGGTTTGATTGAGTGCGAAACAGATGCGAAAGTGTATCTGAAATGGCTCAAGATAGTGACAAATGGCATGCTCGCGCCTTGGAATTTCACCCCTTCTAATTCATTAGCGTGCACAAGTCCTTACCAATCCATGAGGCTTCTTCATCTGTAACCATCAGCTGACTTCCGTCTTGCTGGAGCTGGGGCAGAAGCACCGCCGAGTAGCCCTGGCAAAGCCCCACAGACACCGAGTTTCCGTGTGCTGCTACTGTCGCCGCCACCTGCACAGAAATAATAATAACAATAACGACGACATCAGTGACAAGATAACACAGTGTTGTTTTTAGCCTACATTCCTTATTTTTAAAAAATAAAAGGGGCTTATGAGATCACCATGCTTTCTGTGTGTCTGTGAATCCCCAACCCCATCAACAGTTGAATGCCTGAACCAATCTTTATGAAACTTGGTACATCATGACACCTGAGCCCATCTCAACGGTATACGTAACAAATGCATCCCATCAGTCTGTGTTTCTGTATGTGTATGCCCTTATTGTCTGCTAGGCAACGGCTCGGTAAAAACGTTACTGAGGCAACATGCAACAATAGAAGAATTGTTAGGCGCATAGTTTTCTATGTGGTCCGTGTCATATCAAGGAAAGTAGGCGATTATTATTTAATAGCGTTTCGGGTAGAGGATGTGTTGTAGAAATGATGAACTTATTTAGGCACAACCATCGTTCCAAGAGGAAATTAAGAGGAGATTGAACTCGTGTAATGCTTGCTACCATTCAGTCCAGAACCTTTTGTCTTCTCGTCTGCTGTCCAAAAACATAAAAATTAAAATATACAAAACTATGATTTGTCCTGTGGTTCTGTATGGGCGTGAAATTTGGTCTCTGATTTTAAGGGAGGAACGTAGACTGCGGGTGTTTGAGAACAGGGTGTCGAGGAGAATATTTTGACCTAAAAGGGATGAAGTGACAGGAAGTTGGAGAAAACTGCATAATGAGGCGCTTCATAACTTGTACTCTTCTCCAAGTAAATTAGAATGATCAAGTCAAGGAGGATGAGGTGGGCAGGGCATGTAGCACGAATAGGGGAGAAAAGGAATGCATATAGGATATTGGTGGGAAAGCCAGAAGGAAAGACCAAGGCGTAGGTAGGTGGACAATATAAAATGGATCTTAAAGAGATAGGATGGGTTGGTATTAAATGGATTGATCTGGCTCAGGATAGGGACCAGTGGAGGGCTCTTGTGAACACGGCAATGAACCTTCGGGTTCCATAAAATGCTGTTCAGTGCTATATAAAAAGTAATTTCTCCCTCTATTTTATTCTTATCGTGACTAGTTGGCAGTCGCCTAGACTTTGAGATGCGCGGTAACTATTGTTATCTGCAGGCTTACGTGTTTGTGTCCAATTCTGTAATCTCAAACCAATAGCGACGCCGTGTAAACTGTCTCGATGACATCGTATTTTTGTTGGTTTCATTGACTCTTGTTTTAAGAATCACGATACCAATTGCCGTGTTTGTCACTGTCTGGGAGTTTCGTGTTTATAACTGTGATGAAGTTTGGAGAAGATGGGCTGTTTTTAACTGGAGGCGGAGCCATTGTCGCGTATGAAGTTTAGGGTTGCAGCACCCGCGGTGACGAAGCTAATTGCACTGAAGATGTATCGCACAGTCAGATAATATTTTTCCGTACATATTTACCATAGAGTAAAGTATTTCAAATAAAATTATAAAAATTAATCTGTTGAAACACTTGATTCTTATGAATAATACTTAAAACTCCAGGTCTTAGCCCACAGAAAACAATAACCGGTTAATACTTTTTAGGGAGGTGATCGCTGTTTATTCTGAGAATCACTTGAATCGCGTAAATATTACGACACGACTGCTGAAAGCCAGAATGGTGACAGCCATTGCGAGCAACATCGCCTCCAAGCAGGGGATACAAATGCGCAAACCACGGCGTCTTCTGAGCAGCAAATGAGTTGGTTTAGGCAACCCGGGGTGACAACGATTTTCATAAAAGTCTGTCACATATATTAAATTTATTATAAGCTCCCACAAATAAATAAAACAGACTCCGTGATTTTAGTCCGCAAGCGAACTATACCGACCGAGCGACCGCCGCTTGTCGGCGAAGTTTAGTGCCAACTTTTGCGGATAGAGGATGTCGCGTTGTCATCGCAACGGATCCCTACGGCTGTTAATCTCGGTTTTCTAAACCGGAGCCGCTATTTCCTTGAAATAGCTCCTCAATTATCATCACGAGGCTGAGTGGACCCCGTTCCAGACCCACTACTTCTCAGAAAAAATCTGGTAGCGCCGGATATCGAACCCGGACCTCTGGATCTGTAGCCATGAACGCTGATCGCTAGACCACAGAGACGGTCTATAAGCCCCCACAAATAACAAAAATTTTGGTTTATTTTTCAATTTTATTTTTATTAATTAAAATAGAATTAATCATTTTAAAAGTGCGCTGGAGTTCGATAGTGGCTGTGCGGTCGTGTGCTTGCCCAGCATACAGGAAACATTGGTTGCGGGGCAACGGCTGGGTAAACATGCTCCGGCGGCAACGGGTACGCATATAAAAAATGGCACGGTGTTTTCTATGGTGTCTGCGCCATGCTGCAGAAGCCTTCTCCGGCAGTATATCTTGTATGTCTTGCATTAACATTATTCAACGTATTAAAGTGACAAAGCCTGCATGGTGTCCATAAAGTCCAAATGTTTTTACCCGGACGCTGCGTGAGTGCGGATATACTCGTGCGAAATTACGGCGAAACGAATGAGGCCTACTCAGAGAGACAAGCCTCTCTTCTCGTCGAAAAGGAAACACCGTTTCCAAACACAATTAGGCCATGGGCGCCGACGTGGCCCAAAACCAATAATGAATGTGCTGGAGAGGGCCAGACAGGCTCCCAGAATCGCGAGAGAGCAAAATATAGTTCGAGCGCACGACACTCGGAACCAAGGGTGACTGTGCTGGCGAGAACCAGCAGCAATTTACCTGACCGACCGACCAGGTCGTCGGCACTCAGTAGGACGTCGGAGTCGACGGTAAAGCGTTGTGACTCACATTGTTAGAAACCTCTACCAACCAACGGATAGTGAAGACATATGAGATTGAGAAGGCTTTGTGCGTTCTGAGGTTGTAGTGAACTGTAGTGTGTGTAAATTAGTGAGACTGTTATAGTTAATTTAATTATGAGTTATGAGCGTTCAGTAAATCCAATTATCAATTCAAACCCCGTGTCTAGTCAATAAACACACGACAATTATATTGTGTGGGAAAATACAGAAGTTTATGTTAAAGCAAGACGTACATAAACAGTACCCACTGCGCTTTGAAAGGTTAATGGGGTTAGCATTTTATGACATTTCAGTTCTTTGTACGGTGAGGCGATTTTGGGAAAAATAATAATGCTTCGTGTAAAATACTTGTTATAGTGGCTCTAAGCGAAACAAAATTCAATTACCTCAAAAACTTGCAATGTAACCACCTCCCCGAGTGTCAGATTAATATGGCGGTATAGGCCTTCCGGATATGAAACACGTGGACCAATAGATTGGCGGATACTAGCACCTCTAGGCCCGCACAGTTTCCTTCACGCAACTTGTTCAAAGAATATACGAGGACGTAAGAAAATTTTACCGCTTCCTAAATGTATTAATTCAATTGGTCGCTGCATGTCCCTGTCTGGGGGACCTTCCTCTTGGTTGAATTCAGAGTATGTAAACCTATTACTTTTGTCTGTCAAGGAAAATATTTCTAATCACCCGAATATAGTAAACAGGAAGGAAGACTTTTTGTGGACAACGTAATTCCTATTCACCGCTCACCGAACGTACAGTATATGGAGCAGGGTCGAGAGTAATTGTAGCTGCTGCAGAACATAACAGTGCATTGCTGTTACCAGGAGTAGCAGTCACTTGGTGACCTAGAAAACGAGATCTCACGTAAAAGTACGTGCCTTACAATTCAGAGGTCGCTTGGTTATACCTACCTCAACAATTAAACAAGATCGAAAGTGAACTTTAAAAGCAAAACGAGAAAGGAAATGATCTTAAACTGTATGAAGTGTTATTACCGAGCGGACAGTGCCACTAAATAAGCTACAAATAAATATGAAGTGTCACAATTTACCATCTTCAGACCGAAGTGTTCAAATTTGCAGATTTAGTTGTGTCAGATCTATTCTTTTCTTGAAGAGTAGAATCGTCTAGATTAAAAAACTGTGTATTGGGCAGAAATGTACGAAATTTCCGAAGAGCATATTTCCTCCATCTTCAGGGTTGAATAAAAGGACAAACAAGAAACCGACAAGATACATATGGCAACGACAAATTCTTCTCGCCTTCAAGTAGCAGGAGGCAGACTTCCCTCCTTGGCTTATCCATCTGTCCTGTAGATGAAGGTGATGTGTTCCTCCGAAACTTCGGCGGAATTCACTGGAGCTACAAGTCGTTATAATCCAGGAGGTCGTACATTTCATAGTCTTCGCTGCAAGAACCTCAACTCAAACTTATTCTCTTTTGTTTCCTTCTTCTTCTTCTTCCTCCTCCTCCTTCTCCTCCTCCTGTTTCATAGTCTCCTTTCTCATCTTCTCAGTCCTGTGATGTAGGTATATTCATCGGGCGTAGTCACGCAGACAGAGATGAACAAATTAGAAGATAAAACCGAAATTTCTTGTACAGAGGTAACGTTCTATAGAGGTAACGTAGAGGTTATTTTAGAACATTCTGGATAGGAAAATTATCAGACAAATGTTTACCTATACCGACTTACAATACGTTTCTTTTAAACACATTTTAATCAGCCTAACTACAGTAGTTCCATGGGTATCTCAAACTCTATTAGAATATTGTACAATTCTTCCCTCCTAACAGAACCATAGGCTTTCTTGAAGTCTACGAATAGTTGATGTACTGTCTGATTAAGGTGCGTCCACAATACTCGTGCTCGTGCTCGCCAGGCTTGTGCTCGTCGGGTGACTCGTCTGGCTTTTACTTGTGCTCGTAAATCTTCGTCCACACTACTTCAGTTGCTCGCCAGGCTTCGGCGCGTGAGGATCCGTATATTTACTCGTAGTGTGTATAGGCTGTAGCCGTAGTTGTAGTTTTTAAATTAAAAATTTTTCTTGTCTCGGGACTTGTCATATCGTCCACATTACTCGCGAGTATAGCGAGTCACACGAGTACGAGTAATGTGGACGCGCCTTTATACTCCTATGTTTTTCTCCAGTATCTGAAAAATGCAGAATA